TTTTTTTTTTTTTTTTTTTTTTTTTTTTTTTTTTTTTCGGTGGGGGTGTTTGCACATGAGCGGCTTTTGGGAGTTCTATATACCATTTTAATATTCTGGTTCTTTCATTGATGGGGAGACTATAGATGTGAGTATCTGTATAACTACACAGGTTTGGTGTTTGGGGCTGTTTCTGATGGTTTCATAGCATTTCGGGGTTGTCATTGTTTTTTTATTTTTTCTTTACCATTAATTCTCTGTGTACAAGGACATGAATCAGCGCGCAAGATACCCGGCTTCTTTCTAGGCGCATATTTAAACTTGCAATTGCCCGGGGGGTTACAGGTATTTGGTTCTTCAGGTCAATTCAATTCTGTTCCCAGATGGATTCAATCTCCCATCACCAGTCCTGGCTGTGATTCGTATCCGATACGGACATATCGTGACATTTAATAATAATCCCAATTAGGATGCCCAGCATCAATGTGGCTGTTACTATTGTCCCACGGCCCACAGCATCATTCCTGCCAGCAACATTGTGCCATGGAGCCATGGACAATGTAACTGCCAAGCAGGAATCTAGGCAGCATGATTTTTTGCAGAAAACTATTTCTTAGGTCATGAATAGTTAACAGATTCTTGTGTTCTTGGCTGCCAAGACCATCCTGCTTCCCAACGGCTATGATGTATACGCCGAATTCTAGACCCTTGACCCCTGGTGTTTTTTCCTTGGATGGTAACTGGTTAGAACCTGGTGACTACATTCCGCTGTCCCGTCCCAATATTATTATGCATTTTTGATTAGTTTCTTATGCGAACTGTTTTCCTTTTCATAGATGTACTATATCCTTGTAGGGCGTGTATCGCGAAATACCCCGTACTACTACAGCACCCAATAATGCAGCCTTATGCCAGTCATGACGTAGAACAACACCACCCAACCCTCCCGGCCAAAACCCGTGGGATCCGGCAGCGGCTCCGTTTCCACTTTTGTTCCCGTTCCGATTTCCGGATATCGATGAAATACAACGTACACAAGGCTGAGGCTGTACTCGTATTACGGGTTAATATTACGTGTATAGCCACGAGGGGGATATAAGCCACACTGACACCGCCCACCATTCTGGGTAATGATCGATTCTGGAGTTATCCATCATCCGTCGGCGGTGGTTCATCAGGCATCGAAGATCTATCTCGTCCTATTCTACTCTATCTGTCTACTCTTACAATTGTCTACAGTGCTGTTTATTGTTTTTCTTAATTACTCTTTTGTTTCTGCTTGACAGGTCTCACGTGCTGTGATCTGGTTAGGTTCTGCGAAAATTGGAGTACTTGCCCCTGTGGGAGTTCGATTCGATACAGCCTTGTTCAGCCTAGAATCCCTATCTACTGCCCGTCATGTCTTGGGCCGGTATGCTGCTACTTATGGTACTCTGCACTTTTGTTCCTCTTATGCTAATGTGTCCTAGGATTCAAGAAAAATGTCAACCGCGCGACGACGCAGGTTATGATGAAGACGGGTATGACATCCGATGATTGCAAGAGGATATTGACAGCAATGCTGATATAAGGGCACAGGGCATGTGGAAAGGACAAATGACCGGGACTACGAAATCGAGGAGCGGTATGATTGCTTCCAGCTGGGCGATAACGTAGGAGGCTGACTGGTTTAGGCGATTCCGGACTATGGAGGCGGCATCCACCCGTCTACAAAAAGAAGCAAAGGGATATTTGGACTCATTACGAGGTGTGCTGCTTTTACATGGTCGGATGATGCGCTTTAAATACTAACTTCAATAGCCATGACGGCTTCGCAAATGCGCATTGCAGAGACAATAGATGCCTTCTACGGTGACGCTGGGACAAGGGATGGTGTGAGTCGGAGTTATAAGCAAGCGGTTGAGGATCTCGATGCCGAAACGATCAAAGCGTTGGATGGGCCGTACCGATCTACAGTTCTCGACCCCATCTCCCGATGGTGTGCCTACTTCCCCGATATTAATGAATGCATCAAGAAACGAAACCACAAACTCCTCGACTACGACGCTATGCGCTCCAAGGTGAAAAAGCTCGTCGAGAAGCCCGACAAGGATGCCACCAAGCTCCCGCGGACGGAGCGCGAAACCGAGATGGCGAAACAGTCATACGAGCAGCTGAACGAGCAGCTGTTCACCGAACTCCCGCAACTTATTGATCTCCGTGTTCCGTACCTGGATCCCAGTTTCGAAGCGTTGGTCAAGATTCAGCTCCGGTTCTGCGCTGAGGCATACTCGCGCATGGCGCAGGTACAGCAGTATCTGGATGCAGAAACTCGCGACCAATACGCTCGTGGTGATTTGGACAACCGGGTAGAGGAGGTGTTGCAAGAGATTCGGGATTTGAGCATAGCGGGAACTGTTTGATTTTCTTTTGGGCCGGAGTTTGCTGTTTTGCCTTTTGCATTTTCTTCCCTTTATCTTTAAATTATTATTCTTATTTCATACAGTGTTGGCTTATATGTCGCTCTGGTTTATTGATCTGGTTACGGTTTCTGCAAGTCATTCAATGCCAAGGGTATCACAAGTCAATTGTACAAATGCTCCAACTTTCCGTAAACCATCTCGATCATGAATTGCCTTCCTCACGATAAAGCTCCTGTAGCAACAACTCAACCACCGGATCCGCAGCAGCTCGTACCGCCGCCAATTCTTTAGGACTCATCTTGGTCAGGACATAATCAGCTACAGACCCCCGCTCCCGACTGTCAGGACGCCCAATTCCCACTCCAACGCGCATAACCGAAAGCCCTGTATTCTCCGCAGGTGTTCGCGGAGGATACAATCCCTTCCCGCGCAAAACCTCCATTATACTAACCAACCCCCGATGACCACGCAGACTAGCCGTTTCTGCCCCGCCGCGCTTAACTCGTACTTTGCCCAGCGGCGACTCGAGTTCATCATGTAGGATCACGAGTGTTGGCTTCCGCCGCCGTGTATCGATCGTGGAAATCCATTTATGTAACCGGCGCACAAGTTTGCCTCCCGACTCGTTCATGTACGATGTACTCTTCCATGTTTTGTAAAAGTCTGATTGTTCTGCATCTGAGAGCGTGTAGTTTGGTGTGGATGAGAAGCGCGAGGGGAGGAGTGGGACGAGAGCTTCAAAGAGGATGTGGCCGGCACTGTGGCGGGTGGTTCGGTATGGAGCGGGGTTACCGATGGAGGCGATGAAGATAATGCGGTTGGCGGGTTTTGTGATGTCTGGCATTGTCGTTTCAGGGGTGTTGGTAGGTTTGGTGTTGTTGGACATTGAAAGTAAAGGCGGGTTGATGATATGTCAATATCACGTGATATATAAAGTGATTGATTGATCTGAGCTTGGATGACCTGTGCTGTGCTTCGTTTTTTGTAAAAGTGTGTATCTTTATACTCGCTGAGAATTTGAGCGTCAGCAGGGTGATGGCTCATTCTGCTCAAAAAAATCATTGACTATCTAATGCATATGCTCAAAGCTTGATGAAATACTGATCGTCCCCAGCAGCTCTGCCACTACGTAAATCAGCCTCGAGCCAAATCCAACCTCTTCATTCCTTCGAATGAGAAACCAATTCGTTTCTTTCTCAATATGGTGATTCATTCTCCATTCCACACGTGTCAGTGAGGCTGGAGTACAGAGTTTTCTTCACCTTCTGCTCTTTTTGCTTTTTGCGAGCTTCATGCCTGGCCAGCACCGGTCCACAGGCGATTTGATACTTGCTAATAAAAAGAGTCGTGGAATGGATCTTTAATTCCAAGGAATTGTTCTGCTTTCTCATGGTCTTTGGATCGTCATGTCATGGACGGAAAAGGCATCTGGCCGTCGAGTGAAAGGACCAGCCAGGGCTTGGCTGTAGAGGAGAGCAAGGTAGCGGATTCACCGCAGGGGCTTAACAAAACTGACTATCGAGAGGAAGAAGATGACGACGACGACGATAACGACGACGACGATGATGATGCGTCTGATACAGCATCAATGTAAGTCCCTTCTTTTCCTGTCAGACAATCGAGACTGACAGCTATAGAAAATCAACCAAATCATTCGAAGCGCAGAATATCCATGTCACTATCCAACATGGCCGCAGATACTGCGATGACTTCTACTTCATGCCCAACGACGAGACCGAAAGTACCCGTCTGAACATCATCCACCAGATCTACCTCATCCTCCTCGACGGCAAGCTTACCGCCGCGCCCCTGGCCAAAGACGCACCACGAATCCTCGACATCGGCACCGGCCCCGGCGACTGGGCTCTCGAAATGAGCAGCCTATACCCGAGAGCTACCATAATCGCAACAGATATCAGTATCTTCGATACCGGACTTGCACACATCGACCTCCCCAACGTATTCTTCCAGCTCGACGATGCTCGCGAGGGGTGGACGTACCACGAGCCCTTTGACCTGATCCATATGCGTGGTCTTTCGGGCGCGTTCAACGACTGGCCTGTCATGTATCGACAGGCATTCGAACATCTCAACCCGGGCGGGTACATTGAGATCGCGGATTCGGACCCAGCAGGCGACTCCGTGACGTTTCCGAATTCAGAGAGCTCGTACTTTCATATCTACACGGGTGCCATGCGCTCCGCTGCCGAGGCATTGGGATGCCCACGCGATCTTAACCATCTGAAACCCAACATGCTCTCCGCTGCGGGATTCGTGGACGTCCGTGTCTTCGAACGCACCGTCCCCATCGGGTTATGGCCGCAGGACCTGCACGAGAAAACCCTGGGGAAGATGACATTGATCGCTGTGCTTGAGGGTCTGGAAGCGTATGGTCTGCGGCCGCTTACGGCTACTGGATGGATGGCAGATGCAGTCATGGATCTATGCGAAAAAGCAAAAATGGAGATCATGAGCGCGGATCGGATGACTGCGCGCGTGAAATTTATGACTGGGAGGAAACCGATTTCGAGGATTCAGATGAAGGAAATGAGGCAGAGGGAGGTGCTTGCTAAGGCCTTGCGGAAGGTTGAGGAGTGATACCATTGTAATTACCGGATGCCTGGGTCTGAATGAGAAGATTGTAATTAACTGCCTTGTACTATTGTAGACTCAATAACTGCACGAGAATGACGATTATCTACAAACAAATAGGTATAAACCACTTTTTTCTAAGCAAACTCCGTCCGAATCCCATAATGCAGAAACACGACTCATGCAACAAGTATAGAGTAAACAAAGATTACAGCTGAAACTTGGTCCTCTCTTTCTCCATTCCACCCTTCCATTGCCATTCCTGTCCGCTGGCCTTATGAATCCCCTTATCGACACGACGGAGCTTAAGTGTGAATCGCGGCCCAAGTTCCTGCAAGCCAGCACGGATACCCTCTGCGCCCTGCATTTCTTTACCGTCCGCCCCGACTACAGATTTCTCTGTCTCGCGCTTCTCGCGGAAGACATACCGATGTCTGCGCACGAAGAGGTAGTCACGCTGGTTGTGAATGGTGACTACATTCCGGCCTTCGAATTCCGGCTTTGGCGGGAACAAATTCCGGAAGAGATGCGCCGTCAAGAGACCCAGTGGTGTGCGGAAGTTGTTCAAGATCAGTTCTGGCCAGTGCTCGGTTGCTCTACCATGACCTGGGATCTTCTTCGAGTCTATCCAGTTGCTGATGGAGAAGTGGAAGGTCGGGCCACTCGGGAGGTGGATGATGGTTAGGCCGGAGATGCGCTTTTGGTCCTCGTTGACCACGACGAGAGCGGTAAAGTTGCGATTTGTAGCGAACTTGGCGATTTCGCGGATCGAGAAGTTGTGCGAGTATCGGTGTGCGTTGCGGCGGATGTAGACGCTGTTGGGAAAGAAGTTGACAAGTTGTTCGGCTTCGCTGTGGAGGGTAGAGTGGAGCACTGTGGTGATGAGGATCTTGGGCGCCCGTTGCTGCAATTCAGTCGAGAACAGAGATGGGAATTTGGCTGCCAGTGCTTCGGGGGCTAGGTTGAGGTTTGTACTTTTCGTGGATTGGCTTGGACTGGTAGCGCGTTCTGTAGCTGATGGGAGCGATGACTTTTTGCGTCCTCGGTATTCGTCTTTTTTTTTGTCTTTATTCTCGTCCTCGTCCTCGTCCTCGTCGTCCTCGTCCTCGTCCTCGTCGTCCTCTTCATCGCTGCTCGCAAGCATACTGTCGACGTCATCATCGTCATAATCCCCGCCCTCTGAGCTTTGTTCATTGTCCTTCAATGGCCGATTAAGCTCGTCCTCTTCTTCCTGTTTCTGTCTCTTGATCCGCTCCACGTCGACGCTCAACCCCAGCGAATCCTCGACATCGCTATCCACATCATCCCATACTCGCTTGCGATCGATCGTCAACGGGATATTCCGCTTCAATCTGTCCTCCTTCAAGCTCGGATCCTTGGATTCTTCCTTCTTCCTCGCAAATCGTTCTGCCCGTCGCGCGGAGTCTTTGGCGCGCTTTCGCTTGACATGGAGATCTTGGCGGGCCAATTTGTTCCCTGGCTTGTACTCTGCAGTAACGCCTGGCAGGGGCCTAATTCCCTTTTTTGCCATTGTGAGAGAGGTATAGCGGTTGGTTATCAAGACTTGCTGCGGTTAATCAATCTGAGATACGAAAAAAGATAATTTTTGGTGGGACAATGTATCTCCGGCGGTGAGTGTTTTTATGCAGGAATAAAACGGTATTAACGAGCAACCCTACGAGACACAGGAAAGAGGGTAAAAAGCAAGGACAATTCATGCATTGAATTTGAATTTGACGTTCTTATTTGCATATCCTAACCAGCCGTTACTTGCTACTGCACATTGCCTGCGTGCGGATCACGTGGCGGATGACTCAAGTGCCCTTCCTTCGCCTGCTTCCCCGCCGTTTTCCTCCAACAATAAAAAACCCCGCTAGGAACTTTTCCTCCACCACCGCTGCCCTCAGAGCTATTCCAGCGAAGAAGCAAGACCCCACGATGGCTACTGTGAACACCAAGACCGGCCAGGCCGTTGACCGGTCTGTCCTCGACTCGCTGCTCCGTCGACGTCTCTTCTACACCCCATCGTTCGAGATCTACGGAGGCGTTTCCGGCCTCTACGACTATGGCCCTCCCGGGTGCGCCGTGCTGAACAACATGATCGAGCTGTGGCGCAAGCATTTTGTGCTGGAGGAGGACATGCTCGAGGTCGATTGCACCATGCTCACGCCCGAGGAAATCCTCAAGACCAGTGGTCACGTCGAAAAATTCGCCGACTGGATGTGCAAGGACCCCAAGACTGGCGAGATCTTCCGCGCGGATCATCTGGTGGAGGAAGTGCTCGAGGCACGGCTCAAGGGCGATAAGGAGGCCCGTGGTCAGACGGTCGTGGTGGACGAAGCGAAGGAGGCTAAGAAGAAGAAGAAGGTCAGCACCAAGGCTGTCAAGTTGCCTGATGCTGTGGTCCAGGAATACGAGGAGCTTCTCGCGCAGATTGACAACTTCGATGGTGCAGAGCTGGAGGGTATCATTGCCAAGCACGATATCAGAAACCCTACGACTGGAGGCAACCTCCTTCCTCCCGTGGCTTTCAACCTAATGTTCCAGACTGCTATTGGCCCCAGCAGTAACATGCCTGGCTACCTGCGTCCAGAGACGGCCCAGGGTCAGTTCTTGAACTTCCAGAAGCTGCTAGACTTCAACCAAAATTCCATGCCGTTTGCCTCGGCCTCAGTTGGCAAATCGTTCCGTAACGAGATTTCCCCCCGTGCCGGTCTTTTGCGTGTACGTGAATTCTTGATGGCGGAGATCGAGCACTACGTCGACCCCGAGGGTGGTAAGAAGCACATTCGCTTCGATGAGGTCAAGGACGTCGAGCTGTCCCTGCTTAATCGTGATGTCCAGTCTTCTGGTAAGACTGACATCCAGAGGATGACCGTCGGCAAGGCCGTAGAGACCGGTCTTGTGGACAACGAGACCCTCGGATACTTCATCGCACGTATACAGCTCTTCCTTCTCAAGCTTGGTGTTGACCCCAGCAAGCTTAGATTCCGTCAGCACATGGCCAACGAAATGGCCCACTACGCTTCCGACTGCTGGGATGCTGAGTTGCAGACCAGCTATGGCTGGATCGAGTGTGTTGGCTGTGCCGACCGCAGCGCCTACGACTTGACTGTTCACAAGAACAAGACTGGTGCCCCCTTGGTCGTCCGTGAGCCGCGCGCCGAGCCCTTGAAGATCGAAGAGTGGCAGGTCGACATTGACAAGAAGAAGTTCGGTCCCCGTTTCAAGAAGGACGGTAAGACGGTCGAGGCGGCTATCAACGCCCTTTCGCAGGACTTCCGGAAGAAGTTGTCGCTTGAACTCGAGCAAAATGACAAGGTCGAGATTGATGTGGAGGGTGTTGCATCCGGAAAGGTTGAGTTGGAGAAGGATATCATCAAGATCGAGAAGCGCACGCGGGTTGACAACACTCGCGAGTACACCCCTAACGTCATTGAACCGTCGTTTGGTATTGGGCGTATCTTGTACAGTATGATTGAGCACGTCTACTGGTCTAGAGAAGGTGACGAGGCCCGTGGTGTACGTTCTTCCTTTCCCGAGTTGCTATTCAGGACTAACATATATCCTAGGTTCTCTCCTTCCCCCCTCTGATCGCACCCACCAAGGTCCTGATCGTTCCTCTTTCGAGCAATCAGTCGTTCACACCTCTCTCTCAGCGTCTGATGACCAAGCTCCGGCGTATGGGTATCTCGAACCGGGTTGACGACTCATCCGCCAGTATCGGGAAGCGGTATGCTCGTAACGACGAACTGGGTACTCCCTTCGGTATCACCGTCGATTTTCAGTCCATAAAGGACAACACCTTTACTCTGCGTGACCGTGACTCGACGAAACAGGTCCGTGCCAGCGAGGACGAGATCGTGCAGGCTCTCAAGTCGTTGGTGGACGGTGATGAGACATGGGAGGACATCCGGCAGCGCCTGCCCGAGTTCACTGGCCAGGACGTTGAGTAAGGCTGTGACTTGGCTTAGTTTCCTGTTATATTATAGAGAAAGAGGGTTAAAAAATTAACCATTCATCTTTTGAACATTTCTACACATACTGTTCTTGTATTTCGATAGCCGAATAAAAGTTCCGATCGCCAAGAAATCCGGGGCGGAAATCAAGACCTCCGGCGTCATCGCTGTTCACAACATGACAATCATTCCTTACTGCTTTCTGTCCTCTTTTGTTTCCCCGTCTTTCATCTACACACTACGATAAGCTTGTTGATATCAACACCTCTACGCGACCGCCACAATGGCGCCAACCATTCCCTCAGCCAAGCTGACTCTCTCATGTCCCCTCTTCGCCGCCGACTTCGACCCGCGGAATAGCGACTATCTCCTTGTAGGCGGAGGTGGAGGTGAAGGTCGCAGCGGTGTTGGAAACAAAATCGCAAGTTCTCTCCTTTTATCACCACGTATTAGTTATCTGTGTACGTTACGCTAACATTCGATCGCAATAGGCCCTCTTGAACACGTCCAAGCGTTATGAGATCACCGAATTAACCGAGATTGAGCTATCGCGCGATGAGGATTCTGTCACGTCGATGGCCGTTGCGCAAGCATCTGAGGATTTCATAATATTTCTAGCCGGAGTCAACAGTTCCATGGCTGAGCAGAAGTGCAATAACAACCAGCACCTGCGATCGTTCAAGATCGACCTTCCAAAGGAGCAAGGGGAGAAGAAGATGTTGGAGAAAACAACAATACCCGTCGATGCGGTAGAGAAATCGACCCTACTGTCGCGTACGTCTCTATTTAGAACCAAGGGTGCGAAGGCCGGGTCGGATACGTATCAGCGGATCGTGAGAATGTCGCCTTGGAGGGGTGAAGAGAAGCCGTTGCGGGTTGGTGCTATTACAACCGGATTGGCGCCATCTGGGGAGATCGTTTTCTTCCAGGCTATGTTGACGCCAACAGAGTCGGACGTGATTGGAAGGATCCATCTAGGTGATGGGGAGGAAGCTGAAGACATCGACATCATCGATTCGGGAAAGAAGGATGAGAAGTTTCGGGTTGCGTATACAAACGGCGTAGATGTGTTTACATGTCAATTATCGTCGAGCACGAAGGGAAGTACTGCTCTCGACGTGAGTTGTGTGTATACTATTCCCCTGCCGGAGAAGGGGAAGAGGAGGCCGAGATTCCGCGCGCTGCGGTTCCTATCCCCTACGTCTTTGCTACTTCTGCAGAATGCGCCAGATCGGAGTGGGTGTGAGCTCATGGTTCTCAGCCTGCCAACGTCAAATGAAAAGAACAAGGCGGCGATGATCGTGCGAAGGAAGAAGCTACGCAAGACAATCAAGATTGGACTGGGCCTCGATGTATGCAATCTCGGTACCGGCGCGGAGAATAACCAGGCACAACAGACGATCGTTGCAGTCACGGGCAGCGATCAGTCCATTGAGCTGCTCACGCTCGAATATAATCCTGAGGAAGGCTACGGAAAACTCTACCCATACACCAGTCTCCATGATGTCCACCCCTTCTCTATGACCAAGATCTGTTTCTCGACATTCACACCACCTTCACACCCAGTCACTCCAGAAGTTGGTCCACAGTACGTCAAACTTGCCTCCATCAGTATGGGAAATACCGTCGTCGTCCACATGCTCCCCCTCTCCCCGTTCCCTGTATCCAGTCGCACCCCGCGCTACGTCTTGGCTGTCCCCGGCGAGTCGGAAACGTGGGCCACGTTTTTCAGCGGGTTCACGGCACTCTTTACAGTCCTTGTCATCTGTGTTCTTCTCCAAGGGTACATGGAGATCAAAGGAGGGTCGCCATCGTACTTGGGTGTTTCCAAGTGGCTTTCTCCGCAGATTCAGAGTGTCTTTGGCTACCCTACTCCTTTCCCAACTGAGCGCATCGATACCTCTACATTCTCTGCCCCCACAGCTACTACTACCATCTCAGTAGTACCAAACATAAACACAGACACCCAACGACAATCTCTCCGCGACCTCCTCCGCTCCCGGCAGGAACAAAAAGAAGCATCAGACGCAGTAACCACTGGCAGCAGCAACAACATCATCGTTCACTGCACCACCGCCGACGACGGTATCTCGAACAAGATCCTCATCGAAACAATCCCATCAGAACAACAAGTCCAAGATCAGACCCATTCGTGGGAAGAGCTAGGCGAGCAGCAACAATTCCTCTGGAAACAGCGGCTGGCGGACGCGGGTCACTGGGCTGTGGAAGAAGGGGAGACGGTTCTGAAGGGGGTGTTGTTTGCGGAGTATTGTGGGTTTATAAGGGAGTTGGTGAGGGAGGAGTTGCCTTGATTTGATTCAGGGTAGGGGTTGGTGCTTTATGAGATGGCTTGCTTTCGGGTTTGCTTTCTTATAATTCGAACGAGTGGAGTCTGTATACTTAGATGACAGATGATTGTATGCTATAATATTATTTGCCATGTCCTTAGCTAGTATAGACAAAATCATTGCTTTAATTCTTGTGCACTGGAAAAATTACAGGACTACGAAGGTCTTCATGGTTTAGATTAAGGCATAGTTCACTTATCGTGACTCGTCGCATGCAGGGTGTCTGCAGATCAAGGCATCCAAATTATCCCTCTTTCCTCGTTCCCCCATGGTTGTGTCCGTAATGCCAATTTTTATTATCATCAGCATTAGTTAAACAAATAGTTTTGTTCGCTGGGTAGGTGTACAACAGTCACAAGTCACATTGACACGAACGGAGGGGGCGAGGAAACAAGACATTATCCATGTCCACAGAAAGAGGAACAGGGGGTAACAAGAAGTAAAAAGTAACGCCAAAAGACGCCAAATTATTCACACCAAATCGGTAATATGATATGGAAAGAAGGGACAACACGAGTCTGGATATCATACGGTAATGCAGGTCGTAACGGAATCAATGAATCAGAAAGAAATTCAACCGGAGGCGCGTAAATGTGACCCATATGTGCGCGAGACAGATTGAGTGTAAATCGACAAAAGGAGGAAACGAAAAGGGGAACCCTCAAGGCTCCGAGCTGTTTCATCACTGACCGCTGTTCTTCTTCCAGCGGAGTAGTTCGGCCAGGCTCGCGAGACTACAACCCTGCTTAAGGAATTCATGGGCCAGAAGTTCATCCGCAGTGGCACGGCTGCGAACGTCAACGCAGAGACAGACACTGAGGAAAGCTTTGAGCTCCTTGCTCAACTTCTCCGGCTTCTTCAAACGAGGAGTGCCATTGGTGGCAATGAGATACAGCGCCTTGAGGGGTTCCTCGTTCAGGTACGGGGGCTCAGACTCGATCATTTCAATGGCCATAATTCCGAGAGACCAGCAGTCGACCTTGGGACCGTATTCCTTTTGCTTGACAACTTCAGGTGCCATCCAGTAAGGAGTTCCCACCATCGTGGCACGCTTGTTCTTGGATTCGGTCAGTTTAGCACAGAAACCGAAGTCAGCTGGAGGAGAACATAGTCAGCAACCGTTTTGGGATTATTTAGAAACTGCAATGACTCACTGATCTTAACATGACCGGCGCGGTCCAAGAGAACGTTGTCACTCTTGATATCACGGTGGATGATGTTCTGACTGTGCAAGTGGGCCAATCCTCTGCAAGTCTGAAAGGGGGTATTGTCAGCAAGGTTTCCTTTTTTATAAAGGAGGGGGGACAAACCTCTGCACAAATAGTGGCAATCTGGTCTTCTTGAATCACGGGGTTATTGTCGATAACATCCGTGAGAGCACCACCTTCCATGAATTCCATAACAACCCAGAGTTCACTGCTCTGTTCCTGCAGGAAGGAGTCAAGGAAGTTTACAATGTTCGCATGCTGGCTATCCTTCATGACGATGATCTCATTAACAATCAACTCCTTCCGCGGCTGGCTCCGCAGGTCCATTTGCTTAATGGCAACCTGGCAACGGGGACCATACTGCCGGTACAATTCGCGTGCCACAGGTGACATGGCATGCTCCTTGACCCGGGCCACATATACCGATCCTGAGGCACCTTGTCCAATCTTCCGTTGCTTGCTGTACGACTCGTTGGGGTTATCTTTGGAAACCACGGCTCGTAACCGGTCCATGACTTCATTTTCAGTCATGGCAGACATCCGAACCTCCTTCCGGGGCTCCGCCTTCTTGGTCAGGGCGGCTTCAGCTTGACGGATACCATCTGGCTTGTTGGCAGTTTGCTTGTTTGCAATGTTCAAGGGCTTCACAGGCTGAACCGGGGCAGGAAGTTTCGACGGCGGAGGTCCCTGAGCATGCTGCGGGCCCTTGGCTTGGTTCCAGGGGTCATGCGGCGGATAACGCGAGCTTGGAGATGCCTGGTGGTCATCTGGCCGCGATCCGGGAGTCCGCGATGCGCCATAGCCATTGGCACTGCTGGGTGCGGGGGGTGCCGGGCGCTGAGCAGTCAGTTGGCCCGGACCGCCGGGAGGGCGATTGGCCGAACCTGGAGCCGGTGGTGCTGGACGACTTGGCTTGTAGCGGTCATTCATCGAGGGATCTGAAGGACCATAACCGCCAATTTCCTGCTTGGCCAGCGGAACGCGAGTCTTGGGGAGGGATGCATTGTACGCCTCCTGGTCACGACGCTCCTGGTCATCGCGAGCACGACGGGCTTCCTCTTCCAGACGGCGTCGTTCCTGGTCGGTTGCCTCTCGGACACGATCGGCCTGTTGCTGGTGTTCAAATGCACGGTCGTTCTGAGACGAGAAGTTTGAGGGATGACTGCTGGAAGGAGACGCTCCGGTGTCCAAGCGTTGCGAGGGCGGTGGTGGGGGAGGTCTGGGAGGGGCGATGGAGCTGCCGACCGAGTTGTTGCTGTAGGGCTTCGGTTGCTGGCCAGCAGGCGACGGAGGAGAGGCCAAACCGGAAAAGTACTGAGGGTTCTGCTCGCGCATTTTGATATCCGAGTAGAACTCGAGGACCTCAATAACGGCCTGGGGGTTTTTCTTGTAGTCTTCCTTGGTGATGGCCGATGCCGTTAAGAGCTTCTCCCACTCTGGTGGCAGGCCGACGAAAGCACCCGTCTGAGGGTCGAAGCCAACATGGACACGATGGCTAAAGTTGGTGGGATTGCTGACGCCACCCATGCCGGGACAGCGCTCGTAAATCTTATCGATCCAGTCGTAAATTTCATCATCGCTCTTGACTTCGCAGGTGATACTCTTAGTCGGGACTTCGCGAGAAAGCATCGCAGTTTTGGACGTAGCATCCTTGGGATTAGCCAGGCGGACGACCTCAAAGGCCATCTTGGCGTCCTCGGAGCGGGAGACGCCAGTGACGGTGTTAAGGGGGATGGAGAGAACGATCTTGCCGGTCTCATTTTTTAGGAATTCGAGACGAAATTCGCGCAGGATGAGATAACGTTGGTTCCACGTGGCGAGGAACTTGTCCTCTTTTGAGCGCACATAGCCTTCCTTGATGATGGCCACACCCCCTTGACCGGACTGGTTGGTCTTTGTGTGCGACAGAGCAGGACTGCTGGTGTTGGGGAAGAGCGACAGGTTGCCCGACCCAGGGGTCGAGGGAGAGCTTAAACTCATTTGGCCAAAAGACGTAGCGGTGCTGGAAGGATCGGTCGGGATGTTCAGCTTGGGACGTTCGGCAGGGGGGCGAGGAGCAGGCCCGGGGTTCATGAATTGGTCCGTTGTGTACATGCTATGTACGGAGAGGAACTGCAGCAACCGAAATACAGCGGTTAGTGACAAGTCGCGAATGCGGGGCTGGAAATGGGAAATTCGATCTGTCAAAGGTCGGAGGAAATTGTTTCCCCAGATTGACTCGAGGAGTGGAAGAGGGAGAAGACAACATAACAATAATAAAAAGACAAGGAAACCTACTCTCCGTAAATAGATTAGCTGTTGGAGAACAGCAAGCAGCGAGACGTTAAGGTCTCAAGAGTCCACGGACCAGGCTGTCCAGCAGTAACCACCAAGCGGAGGGAGAGAGAGGATGAGGGGAAGAGAAAAAGCAATGTGAGAATCCGTCAAGTGTCAAAAATGATGTCCACAAATGCTTTTCAGGGACTCCGTCAATGTATAAGTGCTGACGCTCTAAAATTGGTTCAATCGAAGCCTCTAAAGACTAACAATGATAGGGGGGAAGAGAGACGGAGGAACCTAAGGCATTGGCGCGCGGGAGAATCCTGGTTGACTTAGAAGACTAAGAGTCAGACAATGTAATTTTATCTCAATTGCTCATGAAGGAAAAGGGTATAAAAAAAAAAGAAAAGAAAAGAAAAGAAAAACATACTGGACTATTTGATAGTTGCTGGGATTGCTGGAGATTACCACAGCAGAAAGGGGGGAGAAGGTGGAGGGAGAGGAAAGAGGAAGAGACGAATGATATGGGAGATGGATATGCTGACTGATGCGATGGTCTCAAGATCTCGCAGTCTTACTTTTCTTTCAATTGATGAAAGTAAATTTCAGAGCGAAAGAAGGAAAAGAGAAGAAAAGATAATAGTGAGAGGGAGAGGGGACGAGGTTGAGGTTTCACACCTTGGGGGGGGGGGGAGGCGGGTTTAGTCAAAGAGCAAATACAGGGGCATGTCGTACATCCTCTTATCATTCTACACCATTACATGCAATTATTGAGATGTCAATAAATATTCAATTATAATTATTTTCTCTCCAATTGCATATTGCTATTCTGCACTCTATGTATTTCTGCATAAAATCGACTGCGGTACAGAGTACATGGTGCATCGAAGTACAAGTACGGAGTACATATTTGCAAACAATGAAATTGTCTTTGGGTCACTCAATATTCAGAGTTTACGCCTGACAAAATAAATTTATCTCACTGTATCAGATAAATTGCTGCTATCTCGCTTGGCTAAACCAACGCAGGTTCCAATGGTTTTCTTTTCTATGCCGTGACTCGAGTTAAAAACTCATGAACACAGGCCCCTTAAAGAAAAGAGAAAAAATAGAACGGAACGTTTCCCGGCCCACGGGTCGACAGGGACCGCATCCAAAGGCCGGTGAATGCGAATCAACGGTTATGCCCATCGTTTGCAGAGGCCCACAGGCCTGATTCATGGACCCCCTTTTTTTCTTCTTTCTACTGCCTTTCCCTTCTGTGTCGCTGGCCAATCGCCATTGGAGGAAGGCAGGCTCGGCATTATGGTGCTGTCAAAGCTGGGAATAAGAAAGCGCTTGGAGAGCTTTAACATGGCAGCAAGCAGGTCAAGAAGCATGAGTTGTCTACTACTCTGAGGGTACATTTACCGCAAAGGGTCTAGCGTGTCGCTTGTTCTTGGCATAAATATCACGTGTGCTTTGCACAAAGTTGAGTCTTCCTTCAGCTTCACAATACTAGTATAGAGATGCAGACTGAATTGAAAAGCTACATCCACATAGCTCAGGAACAGTTCTCAAAACATCACTCCGTACACCTTCAGTTTTCGGATCAGCCCAGAACGCGTACCATCGAACCCAGACGTATACTAGAAGCGGTATACCCCATGTTCACACAGAGGTCATTCTGTATTCTATTAGCAACTCAATTGTACTTCGTAGACTAACTCCATTAAGCTCTGGGTGTGGCTGTCTTCTTGCTTGATCTCGTGTTCGTTACAGATGGGTACTGATGAGACACACGGTTTGCAGATGTCAATGCAGGAAGCCGTGTCCGATGGAGAACGGTGAGCAAGAATGTCATGGTCAGTGTGTCCATCACAATTGTACATAGTATGTAGCAATAATGATGCTGAGTATGTATGTACTCTGTACCACTTCTCCATGTGAAGGACGGTTTAAGTTATCGATAACCTAAAAAGTGAGCCCCACGGTGATCCCCACGATTTATTGATGCCTGTATGCCTGTACTTCTGCCCCTCTCTCCTCACCGCTCAGCCACGTTCCTTTCCCGAAAAGAACAACTGTCGGAAAGAACCCCATACTATTTCTACTCATTATTGTATCCAATTGATCTGATCTTGGCTGTTTGCCGTAATTCTAGCCCCCTCTCTACGCGTTTCTCCATATTTCTGTGCGGTATCATAGCAACATGTCGACCGAGGCCGCAAGTGTCTACCCAGCCCTGCAGGATCGCCCTGTGCAGGGCACCATTTGCCTGTTTGACGTCGACGGCACTTTGACACCAGCAAGGAGGGTATGTTCTGCTATTTGCGCAGAACTGCATGGTTAAAAACCGATACAGCAAGGGGAAAAATGACTAACAAGTTCCCATTGAACAATAGACCGTCGCTCCTGAAATGCTCGAACTCCTTTCTCAATTGCGCCACAAGTGTGCCATTGGCTTCGTTGGCGGCTCCGACCTGGCGAAGCAGCAAGAGCAGCTCGGTACTCCCTCGATCAATGTCACCAATCTCTTCGACTTCTGCTTCGCCGAGAATGGGTTGACAGCGATTCGTCTAGGCAAGTCTCTTTCCAGCAACAGCTTCATCCAATCGTTGGGGGAGGACAAGTACCAGAACTTGGTGAACTTCTGCCTGAAATATATCGCGGATGTGAAGCTCCCTAAAAAGCGTGGCACCTTTGTTGAGTTCCGTAACGGAATGGTCAACATTAGCCCTGTCGGGAGAAGCGCCAGTGTCGACGAGCGAAACGAGTTTGAAGCGTATGTCCCCTTTCACTTTCTATACAGTACTATGTTATGTTTCAGTGAGATGGAATAACTGATTTGGCATTTGCAGGTACGACAAGGTGCACAATATCCGTAAGACCTTGGTGGAAGCTCTGAAGAAGGAATTCCCCGACTATGGTCTCACGTAAGTTCTTGCCAATGAGAATCACCTGCTCTTTTTCTTTCCTCGCTGCTAATTTCGAGTTATGCCATAGTTATTCGATCGGCGGCCAGGTCTCTTTCGATATTTTCCCTACCGGCTGGGACAAGACCTACTGCCTGCAGCACATCGAGGCCGAGAAGGATATCTCGGGTGTTGAGTACAAGACCATCCACTTCTTTGGCGACAAATCCTTCGCTGGCGGCAACGACTATGAAATCTACTCTGACTCACGAACGATCGGGCACGCGGTTACTGACCCCGAAGACACTATGAAGCAGCTGCGGGAGATCTTCCAGTTATAAGATGGGAGTTAAGATCGTTTGAGCATGGATGCATTCCTAGCATGGTGAAACATTAATTAGAAGAATCCTAGTATGATACCACTAAGACAATGGCATATTTATTTTTAACATTTTTGTGTACGGAGCATTACTCTAGGCTACTATCTCAAACTACCATGGGGCTTATCCGCGAGATCGCCCTGCCGAATCAGGTTCGGATCTTAGTCAGCACGGAATGGAGCACTCTATTCCTGGAACCAACTCGACTGACTCTGACATCAACCGGGGAAGCATCGGGAAAGCTAATGTCTTCTTCATCCTTTATGAATCACATCTCTGATATTTTGCAATAATAAGGATGGCTCCTTCAAAAACCGTCACAGAGGTGCCGCGGTCAATCCTGCCTCGGTTGACCTGGAACGGCACCTCTGCCCGAACTACCGCCACTCCTCTCTCGACAGGCTACCAGTCTCAGCAACAGCGACGCATACAAGGCTGGAACTCAGTCGCACGCCAGCTACACACCTTGGCATTTTCTCCCTATTCCTCCCACTTCCTCACCGCCGCCGCCTCCCGAGACCTTGGTCCCAGGCGTTCGTCGACGTCTTCCGCTCGTCGTCCGTCCGTTGGACCCATCAATAATCCGGTCCGGTATAATGGCGTCTATGTTGCAGTATTCAAATCGGCCCGGCGTGCTTTTCATGCGACGGCGTCTCGTCAGAGGGATCACCACTTCGACACACTGAAGTTTGTACAGCGGTTGAAGGCGGAGGGATTCAGTGAGGAGCAGGCTGTCGCTATGATGAGGGTTTTGAACGATGTTATACAGGAATCGATTCAAAATCTTACCCGGACCATGGTCCTCAGAGAAGGTTAGTGGTCCATCACTATCTTGCACACGGCTGGCTTGAAACTATGTCGCGGCGAGTCGTCAAGAGACATTTTCTCGTGGATTGAAACACTCCGGTAGCAAGGTTTAACGCTTTACTCGCTTCTATAGACTCGGAGCGATCGACATATACACAGAAAGTTGATTTCGCCAAGTTACGTTCGGAATTACTCAACGCGGATTCGACCGAAGCCCAACTCACACGTTCATCGCACGAAAAAATTGCCGCCGATCTGGCAAAGCTCAACTCGCGGCTGCGGGACGAAATTGGACGCACCCAGGCCTCTGTCCGCTTGGATTTGAACCTCGAGAAAGGACGAATCCGTGAGGAAGCCAACGGTCAGGAGATGCGAATCAAAGAGACGGAGACGAGAATCGAGCAGGAGGTCGCCGGATTGAGAGAGCGTGTGGAGGCCGTGAAGTTCTCCACATTGCAGTGGCTCATGTATGATTCAATTGATCCTTTCTATTACTACGGTTATCATGCTAACATACTTGTCTAGGGGTGTCTGCACCGGTACTGCGGCTTTGATTCTTGGTGCCTGGCGTCTCTTCATGTGAATTTACTAGCAGCATGAGATTGGCGTTTAGGATATCATATAGGTCATTTCAAGCGAATATGTATACTTGGGGAAACCAACTTCATTTGTAACTTTCGATTATTCTGTACAATAGTCCCTTCCCCCCTCTCGTCTTCCAAACGGGCCGTTGAAGGATTAACAGCCCGATATTGATTTGTTATATTGCGACGTTTTGACAAAAGAAATATCATTTCTACTTTTATCTAATTCAATTTAGGCGGCAACTGAGCTATGCGAATGCTGGAGGTGCGAATGTCAGGAACTAGGGTCAAGTCAAACAGCACAGCAGTTTCCGCGTTTGTCCTTAGTCGTGGATGAGCTCTTGCCTACTTTATCCAAATCAAGCGAAAGAAAAAAAAAATAACTATCAAGAATATACTAACTTATAATATAATCGCAAGGCTAATACTTGTACGGGTGTGAACTCCTACTTGGATTAAATCGGACTAGTCTGTGATCGACATCCAGCTACACATAGTCATGTGGTTTCTTTCACTTCCTTTTTCTGTCACCCTCTCCCATAATCTCTGCCAACTAGTGGGTTGTCTGTCGTCAACAGAGACCAGTTTCTCGACTATCGTCGAATCTATCTTCTTTCTCATCAATCCTTTTCGCACCCTTTCCCTTCTCGGCATCTTCTTCGGTCTCATCGCATCAAGACTGTTTGGAGTGCTAGTCGGAGTATTAGTCGGAGCACTATCGAGGGCATATAAAGGACTCTCTTTCCGGAATTCGAGTGCAAGGCTACATAAACTCGAGAAAGCTCCCATTTCGAAGACTAAGAAGGGGAAACAAATCTCTATCGGGATTTTCATCTACACATGGGTTCAAGTGGCTGAAATCTTCAAACAACTTCGACCGGGCAATATGGCGTTGTCATTCTATCTCACCCACTTCTTTCTACTATGGCTGCATGTCTCCCGCTGTACAGCCAGGCAGAATTTCTTCCAAGTCTACCAGCCTGTCTTGACAGTGGACGAGGGGAGTGTTGGTTGCAGTGAAGATGTCTTGCTAATGAACCATGTCTTTTCTTCGAGTTACGGGAAGCCTTTTGTTGGTGGGTTTGATCACTGTCGGCTGATGGTGTACGGCTTTAGCTGATACAAACACCCAGGGAGCTATGAGCCACCAAGTTGTGACTTTGATACGGTTTTGATGAATTTCACAGTCACATCAGAGGGCCGGCAGTTTGATCGACTCGCACTTATGTATTTGGGAGACTCAGAAGTGTTCCGAACGTCGACAGCTGAGCCCACTGCGGATGGGATAGTCTGGACTTATATCAAGGACATGTCACCGTATAATGCTTTGTGGAACGAACCGCAGAAGCTAATATTCGATCTCGGCAATCAGATCACGGATATATACACAGGTTCCTTTACTACAACCCTGACTGCGACCTTCTCTCAAAGCGGAAATCTGAAGACAGCAGACATGATTATGCCGATTTCTGGGCGGAAATCAGACTCCAATTCCACGAGTGCTTTTACTGTTCCTACAGACAATACAACGGTGCATTACAAAATTCCTTCATCGGCCTCACGTGCTGTTGTGTCCATCTCTGCGTGTGGACAGTCTACGGAAGAATTCTGGTGGTCCAATGTCTTCTCTTCGGACACAGAAACATTCAGTAGCACTCTCAGTGGCCATTCCCCGTTTCGTGAAGCTCAACTCTATATTGACGGTGTTCTCGCTGGGGTCGTTTGGCCTTTCCCCATTATATTCACTGGAGGGGTGACACCGGGTTTCTGGCGTCCAATTGTTGGGATCGATGCGTTTGATCTGCGACAACCGGAGATTGATATCTCTCCTTTTCTTCCTTTAATCACTGATGACCAAGATCATTCATTCGAAATCAGAGTGACTGGTCTGGACCTTAGTGCGGATGGAGCCGCGACACTTTCGAACACTGTCGGCTCGAACTGGGTGGTGACGGGGAACATCTTTCTATATCTGGATGGTAATAATGCATCCTCGTCCTCCAGCGATCGGATGCCTATCGTCGATGCAGCGGCGCCAAAAGTTTCCGTGTCACGAAATTTAAATCAGGATACGGCCAAAGAAAACGAATCACTTTCATACTCTGTACTGGTTGAGCGGACACTCACAATTAGTTTACCAGACGTGTCGTGGAGCCAAAATCTCTCCTATTCGAATCATAATCTACTCAATCAACAAGGGTTAGACCAGGTTACCCATCAGAGTACTTCGGGAGTGAATACTGTCACTCGGAATGGACAATCAAACCATGTCAGCTTCGAATACCCTTTGACTGTCATAACAAAAACTCACAGCGCCGCCGATGAGTCTACAATCAACGCTCAGATGAAGAGAGGTCTTACCATTGAAGCGACGGATGTTACTGGTATCTCCACATATACTATGAATGAAGGATCATCATCCCTACGAAATAGGCAATGGGGGAATGCACACTACATATCGAAGGCTGATGGGAACTCCACATCCTTTGGTGACACCACGACTACCTTAGAGAGTGAAGTTGGAGGTAAATCATATAGTCGGAATATTCGGGCAGTTAACGGGAGCATAGCTCACGATATTTCTGGAGATTCTTCGCAAATATCTCAAACTGTTCTTTGAACATCAAGTTAAATTCATGCAAGCAACAGTTATGTCCGTTTATGTAACAGACTTTGCTCATAGAACCAGACTTGATATAACTCAATTTGGATTCGCCGCTATCGGCACGTGACTGTATGCGATAAGATTTCGGTTTGCCCCAGCTGGATTCTCCGTACATACTACGTACTCGACTCGCTCAGGGACCGAGACGACAACTTGCAAGATGACTGTGGAGCAGGTGGGGTTGTCCTTTGATGGTAGTCATACGATTGCGCGACATCATATCCGAGTTACATAGACTTACTGACATTGTTATCAGGACCTGTCCCCGGTTCTCTGGCTGCCGTTATCGAGCGAACCGATGCGCCTGATGCGAAGGATCCTCCGAACAAACGTCGTAAGTTGACAGACAGGGCATCTCGCAGTCTTTCAGAACTCAATGGTGTCTCTGAAGCTAGGGTGCCCAATGGGTTCATTCCTTTAGCACGCGTCAATTTGCACCTGGTACGTGATAGGAATTTGCACTCAGCACTCGCGCGTGGTTCGATTGCCTTTTGCTAATAGCTCTCTATAGAACTATACAGAGACAAATCCGGAGGTGGATGGCTCTGGTGCCTATATCGACCTGCCTCAACGGTTTCCTGTCCAGTTTCATGCTCGGAATACAAATGTGCGCAATAAAGGCGGCTTGACTCCGAGGATAATGGGACGCGAGGATACCGATCATGACTGCTCTATACTGGAGTTAAAGTCAGTAATAGATGGGGAGGTTATATTATCTGAGAGATCAGTGGATCCGGCGTTGCTCGGCATCGGAAAGTTACTGCAACTTATCTCTAAATCTCTCTGCGCCGACTTTTGCCGCCGCCATGACCCTGTGGCGTGCTATCAGGCAACTCTACATTGCTTGCCTGATAGGAAATCTTTCCGTCTAGAGCTAGTCCTCTTATGTATTGATTCGCTAGAGGTGCGGGGCTTGAGTCAGTTTCGAGATGATCAATTGGAGGTCTACTCACGATATGTTATACGCGAGCTGCAGGATGTCTTCAAGGAGAACGCTCGTCACATTCTCCGGCGTTCCTGGCAAGAAAGGGAGTTACATCAACAGGCGAAACAGTGGTCGCCATGCGACTTTTACAAGAATGTTTATGTCCCCGAGGACACTCCCAAGACATCTGCAGACATAAAGTGTGGTATGGTCGAGAGCAAGCTCTATCCTTTCCAAAGAAGAGCAGTTAGATGGCTTTTGCTACGGGAAGGGATGGAGCTTCATCCGAATGGAAAGGTCGTTCCAGTTCAGAAAGCGTCTGGTAATCATCTTCCCGCGTCTTTCCAAGAATTCGCTGATGCAGATGGCCGGCCTTACTTTGCCAGCCGTTTGCTTATGACTGCTACTACCAGTTTTCCGGATTGGTATGATGCCGAAAAACATCTAAAGGGTGGCATCCTTGCGGAAGAAATGGGTCTAGGGAAGACCGTCGAGATGATTGTCTTGATGTGTCTGAACCACCGCAAGCTGACTGGTGAGCAGCCACCGTCAGATGTTGAGGGCAAGAATCTCAAACCATCAGGGGCCACACTGATCATAACGCCGCCTGCGATTCTTGAGCAATGGAAACAAGAAATTCAGCAACATGCACCAGCACTTCGTGTCTTCGAGTATACTGGCATTCAACGCCACGAGGATCAATCAGATGATGCGCTTGCTGAAATGCTTGCCAGTTACGACGTTGTACTTACAACTTATAATACACTTTCTCGGGAAATACACTATACTGGTGGTGCGCCAGAGCGGAATCTACGACATCAAAAGAAATTTGAGCCAAGAAAAACGCCTTTGTTGCGGATAGATTGGTGGCGAGTTTGCCTGGATGAAGCCCAGATGGTCGAGCACGGTGTCAGCAACGCTGCCACAGTTGCTCGTTTAATCCCTCGGCATAACGCATGGGCTGTGACGGGAACACCAATCCGCAAAGACATGCGTGATCTCTATGGCCTTCTTTTGTTCCTCCACTATGAACCCTTCTGTGGCCAGATAGCCACATGGGACCGATTGTGTGGGCGATTTCAGTCCGTGCTCGCGGACATTATCAACACCATCACCCTCCGACATAGCAAAGACCACGTCCGCAGTGAGCTCGATTTGCCACCCCAGAAAAGATTCGTCATCACCATCCCCTTCACCGCCGTCGAAGAGCAGCATTATAGTCAGCTGTTCGAGCAGATGTGTGAGGATTGCGGGCTCGATCTGTCTGGCGCGCAATTGAACAGCAATTGGAACCCCGAAGATCCAACAATCGTTGAGAAAATGCGTAGCTGGTTGACAAGACTCCGCCAGACCTGCCTTCACCCCGAGATAGCAGGGCGGAACCGTCGCGCGCTAGGCACTGGTAACGGGCCGCTGCGCTCTGTGTCCGAAGTTTTAGAAGTGATGATTGATCAGAACGATACGGCTATTCGGGCGGAGCAGCGCTCCATGATTTTGTCTCAAATTCGGCGGGGTCAGTTGTTGGAAAACGCGCGGCGTCGTCAAGAAGCTCTTAATCTGTGGAATGGGGCTCTGGAGCTAGCTAGTTCCATTGTGAGGGATTGTAAGGCGCAGCTGAAATCAGAAATCACAAGATATCGGTCATTACAAGTTACTAATTCGAATGTGAATGAGGGTGAGAGTGAAGAAGATGATCAAATGGGAAAGAACAGCCGTATAGGCACGTACCGCCAAAGGCTGCGTGCTGCGTTGGAAGTCGAGCACATTTGTATTTTTTTCACGGGAAACGCGTATTATCAAATTAAGTCAGATTTGAAATCTACTACGCCTGATTCTGAGGATTTCAAGTCTCTGGAGAAGCAGGAAACGTATGCGTACGAAGCTGCAAAGTTGATCAGGAAAGAGATGCTGTCCGAAGTGTCCCAGAAGGTTGACCGATACATGAGGTCTATAAAGGACAAGAAAAAGGACAAGAAATTCGTCCATATCCCCGAGTTTAAATCGCACGTCTTCTCAACCGGTATTGAGTCCCGTCATGTACTAGGGAAACTTGAGGATTTCTGCGATGCAATGAATGAGCATGCTGGGCAGTACAAAGAATGGCGCGACATCATGGTCAACTTGTTATCGCAATCGCTCATTGATCAAGAGGAGGATACAGAACTTGAGGGAAACGAGTATGAAACGTCAACGAAACACCAGGACGAAATGTACGTCTACATGGAAGCTCTACGTGCCATGTTCGCTGATCGACACGACGCCCTCACAGGACAAAAAAATATCCTCGTCGCCCATGAAGTCAAAGGAGGCATTATCCAAGCGCAAGGCGGAGAAGGTCCTTCTCCGCAGCTCTTCCTGTCAATAATGAATAAGCGCAGTCTGCTCAAGCCGGACCCTAAGCTTGGCTCCCTCCGTGGGATTCTCGGAGAGCTTCGTAGTCTTATCACATCGTTGGAGTGGCAGGAGAATGAAGGAAGCGCGCGTGCTGCCGCCGAACTTCAACTGGTGAATGCCGTGCTTGAAAATGCGAGTAAAATGAATGCCGAGCAAACCAAGGTTAGTTCGGGCTTAGAGAGGGAGGTGGAAATGTTTCGAGACACGATGAACAATCGTCTCGAATACTACCGGCAGCTGCAGCAGATTTCGGATACCGTGGCGCCATATGATGAAGAGAGTGTCGGTAAACCGATGAACGACACACTCTTTGCCGAGAAACTCCGGCAAGAGGAGGCTATAGATGAGAAGATCTCTAGCCTGAAAGCAAAACGCCGCTATCTCTTGCACATCAAAGAAGAGCCAGATTCGGACGGCTCTTCGAGTATATGTATTATCTGCCAAACGGGCTTTGAACACGGTGTATTGACTGTATGTGGCCACAAGTACTGCAAAAATTGTTTGCAGTTGTGGTGGAAGCAGCACCGAACTTGTCCGATTTGCAAGAAGCGCCTGAAGGTCAGGGATTTCCATCAAATCACGTACAGACCCGAGGATTTCGTCGTGCGAGAAGAAAAGACCCCGACTAAGATGGGGTCGGTACCGGAGCGTTCTTCGAAAAATTCATCTATCTATACTGATATCAGCACCGGTACTCTGAGGGAGATCAAGAACATCGATATTAACGGTTATTTCGGTACCAAAATTGATACGCTAGCCCGCCACATATTGTGGCTGCGGATGCACGACCCTGGGTCCAAGTCGATTGTATTTTCCCAGTATAAGGGGTTTCTGGACGTGCTTTCTGTCGCCTTATCACACTACAAAATTGGTTACAGTAGTGTCGATAGTACAAACGGTATAGAGAATTTCAAAAACGATCAGGCGGTATGGCTTCTTGCTCTTTCGTACTCTAACTCGCCCCATGCTAATCTCTCTGCAGATCGAATGCTTTCTTCTACATGCCAAAGCGCACTCATCCGGACTGAACCTAGTCAACGCGACTCATGTTTTCCTTTGCGAGCCGCTCATCAACACCGCAATCGAATTGCAAGCCATTGCCCGTGTCCACCGTATCGGTCAACACCGTGCAACCACTGTCTGGATGTACCTCGTCTCAGGAACGGTCGAGGAAGCGATCTACGACCTTTCTGTGTCCCGTCGTCTTTCTCATATCACCGCAAAGAAAGAAGAGACTCTCGCATCGTCAACAAAGATGCACCTAAATGGCAATGATAAGGAGGCTATAGACGAAACTACGATAGACTCGGCGAATTCGATGGAAATGCAAAGTACAGCATTGTCCAAGCTCATGGCCAGCGGTGCATCTGGTGGAGAGATCGTCAAGAAAGATGACTTATGGCAGTGTCTCTTCGGAGATTCCAGCAAGAATCAGGGATCCAATCAGCATTCCATGGGTGCTGATAACGAAGTTGGGAAATTTCTGAGGGCTGAAGCGGCAGAACAAAGAGTCGCTAAAAGTTGAGACGGAGGAACCGTCGATAGAATGTAGATATAGAGATAATACTTGAATATATAGCTTTGCTTCTTATTCTATAATTTTTCCTGGGTTGATGTTGATAGATGACTAAGCATCCCAATCGGGACAGCATCGTGTCTTCCCTTTTGGGGGAATGACGCACACTTCCAGCTGCCTGGGGCGGTCTTTCTATCGCTCTTCGTGGTATAAAAATTTCATCTTCCTTTTCTTCATTTGGGGTGTTCGGTCAATGTGCAGACACTCTCATCTCTCCTGTTCTCCCTCCATATCTCGTTATGGCTTCAGACCCCGCGTCGGCGAGTCCCGAGGCTCGTGAGCTCAGTTTGATATCTAAAGTCGAGCTCAGAATCGCCCTGGCAGAGACAGATGCGAAGCTCCAGTCTCTTCTCCAAACATACTTAGCTCCGTTACTTCTCAAACTCGGTTCAGAAAGTCTAACAGTTCGCAACAAAGTGATTACAGTGTGCACACATGTCAATACCCGAGTTCAGACTCCGTCCATTCAATTGCCCGTGACAGCACTGTTGAAACAATTCAAAGAGCAAAAATCTCAACTTATTAGGCACTACGACTTAATTTTCTTGCAGCAGGGGCTTGATCGCTTGGGTGCCAATGCGCGGATCGAGATCTTGCTACCGTTGCTCCAAGGGATCTCCGAAATTGGGACGTCAGTTAACCAAGGTGCCATCGTGTTCAACCTTGTTTTGCGACTCTTGCCTCTTTTGAAGCTGCCCCCGAAGGGTAATGAGGAAGATGTGCAGCTGAAGAGTCGACTAGGACTGTTCGATGAGGACACCAAGTTTCTGTCTTTCTGGTTGGAGAAGCTCCTTTTGCTTTCGTCAGCAGACGATAACTCTACGACATGTCCCGGTCTTTCCCCTAAGGAGTACACGTTTCTGAACAAGGATGCTCCTGTAAAGGAAACGTGGAATCCGTCTGCAAGCGGTGGTCTGAATCTCACGGAAACCAAAGCCAACGCCTTAAAGTTTCTTGCCAGTGGAGCTTTTACGGATTCAGAGCGGTTCTTGCCTGCGCTAGTCGCAACTTCGGATGCAAATTCACGCCTGGCAGACCTTGGAGAGGAGATTTTGAAGCGATTCATTCCGAACTTCGAGGACCCCGATGTCGTGCAGCAATTGTACAGCTTGTATTTTGGGACTGGAGGGGCCAATGGAGCCCCCCCTGCACGGCCTTCCCTGCAGATTAAGCTGCTAATTTATCTCGGAAAATCCATTATGGCTACGAAGGATACCGAAAAAATAATTCGATTAATAGAAGAGGGCCTTCTATCCGATACGGCAAGGTCGTCACGGGGACTGCAAGCATCCAGGTTGAGGACTCAAATCTTTACATTCACGACATGGGTTGTCCGCATGGGATCGCCGTCAAAGTTGAAAGGGATGGCACCAAAAGTTATTCAAGGCTTGAGAGATTTCATCCAATCTCAGGGCTGGCCTAGTCCCGGAGCTAGCGGGCAGAAATTACCCGCAACTGATATAAGTCTCAGGGGTCTTGCCTACGAGAGTATCGGTATAATGGTACCCAAAGTCGATTTCCAGGCGCAAAACGACGACGAGGAGTTTTCTGGCTTTGGTCTGATCAAGTGGTTGTTCACCTCATTAAGCTGCGATGATTCGAGCCCTGAGATCTTTGTTAGCATTGAGCAGGCTTTGGGCAGCATTCTTAACTCGTCACTAGACAGTTGGGACAAGGGATATCAAGAGCAACTACGACCCTTCCTGGTTGATCAGATGAGAAACGAACCAGGAGAGAATGATCCTCTGACCGGATTCAGTGTCGTTCGAGGACCGCAGTATGCTGCAGTACGTTTTGCCAATCGCTTTCTACCCTATCACGATGTTGTAGCTCGCTGGGTCGATATCATTGCCATTGCGCGGGGGTCGGAAAGGCATCACGAGGTTGTGGAAGAAGGCAAAAAGGGCCTCCATCCTCACTGGCATCGCCTCCTCAATCCTGGAAATAAAAGCGAAGGACACGATGCTTCATCACAGGAGCAAACGTACGGCCCATGGTACGATTTTCCCAGTTTCTCGTCCGCAACGCGCTTTTTATTCTGTCCCTCGGGTCATGCAAACATAGAAACTCTGTCCGCATCGGACATCCTGTCAGGGAGTTACAGAAAAGCATTCGCACCTACTATCACGTTCCTTCGCAACATCCTTCTCTGGGAGTCTTTCTCGAAGTTTGGAATTGCAACCGACATAGAGCAAGACTGGGACACTAAACTGGACATACTACTTACGTCTGACGAACGAGCTCGTGCAGCTTTGAAGAAGTATATCGCAGGTTCTGATAAAGAATCAGTGCTCCTATTCCTTCAGAATGCCTTAAATGGGCTCCTTCACGAGGGCCGAGAAGGGCTCGAGCTATGTGGTGAGCATTTTGTGGAAATCTGTTCTGCGGCATCAAACGACATAGTCGACGCCATGGTCTCACGCGTTTTGTCCTTGAAATTGCCCATATCTAGCAACGACCAAGAGAAACAGAATACGGCCGCACGTGCTATCGGTATACTTGCATCTCATCCAGCGTTTTCTGAAAAGGATTTGTCTGAATTCGTTATGGAGCTGTCGAACGCTTCCACGACATGGAAGTCGGCGATTGGAGAGCTGGTACTTGTCATCCGTGGATCAATTCTGGCACTGTCATACCTGCTTAGCAGGCTTGCATTCCGTGGAAAACTCGACAAGATTCCGCAGGTACAAGTGAAGTCATTTATCCAAACCCTCCTCGATATTATCAAGTCCGCAAACGATGTTATTTTCCGACGGGTTGCACAAGTAGCCATCGGGCAACTCAGCCTTTCCGGAATTCTTTCGCCGACCTTGCTCTCTGGTGATGGCTGGACGGAGGTCAAAGAGAGTCTCACACGGGACGCAAAAGCCGAGAGCGAGATCCCCATACTGGCAATGGGTCGGCTATCGTTGACCTTTTCTAACGAATGCATCGTTGATCCCCAGTTTAGCTCGCTATTGGATGCTCTTTACAGCTTGCACGAGATTCGTAGCCCAGAAATTCATTTTTCTGTCGGCGAGGCATTGAGTGACGCTGCCATTGGATGGAAGTCCAAAGCACTAACCCGAGAATTTGATGTCAATGAACAATTCCCCCAATCTCTTATCCCTAATACTGTGCTTGCAGACATGTGTGACAAAGTCATTGCTGACTGTGGTGCTTCGAAGCCAGCCCTCCGTAAAGCGTCTGCCATATGGCTGTTGTGTTTAGTCAAGAATTGCGGTCATATGCAAGAGATGCAGGACCGATTGCGCAAATGCCAAGCTAGCTTCACAACTCTTCTCGGGGACCGTGACGAGATAGTGCAGGAATCAGGTGCTCAAGGGTTGGGTTTAGTTTACGAAATGGGAGACCAGGAACTTAAGGATGATCTGGTGCGAGACTTGGTCAACTCCTTCACGGCTACCAATTCCCATCTAAGAGGAGGCAAAGTCCACGAAAACACAGAGCTTTTCGAGCCTGGGGCTCTACCCACTGGACAAGGACAGTCAGTCAATACGTACAAGGATATAATGAATCTGGCATCTGAGGCAGGTGATCCAACGCTTGTATACCGATTCATGTCGTTGGCTTCGAACAACGCGATCTGGACCAATAGAGCAGCTTTTAGCAAGTTGGGTATTAGCAACATTTTCACGGATTCGAGCGTCAATGGCTACCTGGCAAAGAACCCCAAGATCTATCCAAAGCTGTTTCGTTACCGGTTTGATCCCAACCCCAACGTGCAGCGGTCAATGAACACGATCTGGCACACGCTTGTCAAGGAGCCTTCAGCTGTTATCAACGCCCATTTCGATGAGATTATGGATGATCTCTTGAAGAGTATTATGACTGGTCGGGAATGGCGCGTTCGGCAAGCAAGTTGTACTGCCATTTCGGACATTATCCAAGGGCGTCAACCGGAACAGTACTCAAAGTATATGGACGAGATTTTCAACAAGGCGTTCAAACTTCTGGATGATATTAAGGAGTCGGTTCGAGCATCCGCCCTCAAACTTTGCCAGACCATCACCAATGCAGTCATCCGCACCTTGGAGACGAGCGATGCCGACACAAAACGCGCCATTACAATGCTGGGGAAGGCGATCCCGTTCTTACTCAGCGACAAGGGAATGGAGTCTGGTGTCCAAGAAGTCCAAGGTTTTGCCATTGGGTCCCTTATACAGATGATCAAGAAGAGTCCTACTAAGTCGCTACGGCCCTTTGTTCCTCCCATTCTAGAACAGTTTTTGAATTCGCTCAGCTCTTTGGAACCACAAGCGGTCAATTATGTTCATCTGAATGCGGATAAATACGGGTTGACGAGCGAGGAAATCGACAAAATGCGATTGTCCAGTATCCGCACGTCTCCTATGATGGAAGTGATTGAGCGATATCTGATTGACACGCTCGACGAGACCTCGGTGAAAGAGTTTGCAGCCAAGCTTGAAGCGGTGCTTCGCGCTGCCGTCGGGCTTCCAACCAAGGTGGGCTGTAGCCGAGTGCTGGTCCTGCTGAGTATGAAGACTATGCTCTTCCGTCCCTACGCGGACCGGTTCATCCAGTTGCTGTCGAAATACGTTGTTGATCGGAATGATACCGTCAGTGCGTCGTACTGTTCATCAATAGGCTACCTCATGCGGTTGGCGTCAGACGACCGGGTCCTAAAGACAATTGAGTATGCTAAGACCCTCTACCTGACGGCTGAGGATGCGACTCTACGAGTGATCTCGGGGGAGATTCTGCATTCTACGTCGAAACTCTCCAATGATCGCTTCATGGCATTCGCTGTCTCCGCTTTACCTTTCATCTTTGTTTTCAAGCATGACACGGATGAGCATGTTCGTGAGGTTTTCGAGAAGACGTGGCAGGACAATGTCGGTGGTACCCGGACCGTATCGCTCTATGTCAACGAAATCACCACGCTTGTCTCGGACAACCTCGAGTCGCCGCGATGGGCCATTAAGCACACAGCAGCCCTTGGCATTGCTAGCACCATCACGTCACTCGACTCCGAGCTTGATCTGGTTACTAGCGATCGTCTATGGCCTGTTCTGGAGAAGGCGCTGGCGGGAAAGACCTGGGAGGGCAAAGAGGCCGTACTTAAGGCATTTGTCAAATTCGCGGGTCAGGCCAAAATATTATGGCAGGAGAAGAAACAGCTCAGTGATGCGATGAAGGCAATTACTATCCGAGAAGCAAAGCGAAACAACGTTGCATATCGTCAGCATGGCCTGACTGCATTAGGTGGAGTTGCACAGGCACGCAGTGATCTTGATCTGATGCCTGACGCTCTCGCAATTACGTCAAAAGTGCTAGAAGATGTCCTTGGTGACGATGAGGATCGAATGCATATTGACTCCGGCAGTGGCCACAGGTCAAGGTATGTCCTCCTTTCATTTAACTCGGTCTTGATTTAAACGAGCTCAGCTGACGATTTTCGGTATAGCACGGAAGATACATTGGCAGCCTGTATTAGATGCGTCCTCCAGTGTGTCAACTCTGCGGCATGTGCGTCCGGAGGTTGGTTCTTTGACCTATTTTGCTACCAGTCTAGAGCGCAGAAGTGCTAATCAAATTCCACAAATAGCCGTCCAGACATATCTGACCGATTTGATTCCTGTTGCTGACAAGGCATTGAGGAATGGCGGCAGAACCGTCCAGGCACCATTATACGAGGAGCTGAGACAGCTACTGACCAGACTGGAGGAATGGACATCGCCATTTGACGGTCGTGATGTTGATGTCCATAGCCTCCAAGGACCCTTATCGACGCTCGCAGGAGAATTGCTAACTCGCGAGATTGATGTGTCCGTGGAAACCATTCGGACAGAACGCGCGCAGGCGGCTGTCACATACATTGCCCTTAGCCAGCAGAGAGGATTTGAGGTCAATGAAGCGTTGCGCCAATCGATTCAGACCTGGAGAACAGGAGAGCGATCGGGACCAGTGCAACAGATTCTCGATCAGGCGCTGGCGAAGTTGATACGGTGAGGGACTCTTCATGCACACTGTCATGTCTATACTGTGCGGGAAGCTACTCTCCGTAGGGCTGGACCTGGATATAGTTACCACGGAAGAAGAGATTGCATTCTGTCCCTAGAGTAGACAACCTTCAATGAAGTCATTCATGCCTCAGGTGTCAATCATACCACGGATACCACGCGGGCCGAAGCATTCGAACCGTAATCATTCACCCCTGCCACAAAACCCTCAACTGATATGATTAATGCCATTCGCTAGTCCTCTCGTACTTTCGAATCGCTCTCTTGACCTTAGCGCCCTCGTGGAGCTGCCGAGCCAATGATTTCTTGCAAAAGCGCCGTGGGGTTCACACCCCGGCGGCTATTCAGCCAGTCTCTTCGTCCTCGCCATTCTTCACGAAATGGATAGACGAGGGGGTGGAAGGCTCAAGGAATTGCCTGGAGCCTGCTCTATGAAGTTGTAACAGTACTTGATCCTGCTCCTCCCCTGACCAAAGAAAATAAAATAAGTGCCGGTTATCTCATACTAATAACTGAATCCGTCCCACTACAGGACTCCGCATTGAACGACTTTTCCCCGATCGCAACACTCTCTGCTGTCCTGAAATCCTGCCTGGAAGGCTGGATTGATATTGATCGACAACTAGATCTATCCGCCTGCATCCATTGAATCTGCGTGGTGGCGCAGGTACTACGGGGTACAATAGTACTGCTACTCTCGCCATGAGTCCTACTGGGAGTCGCCAGGTCCCTGAGGGAGAGCTGTTCCTCTCCTCACCACCTGCGCCAGCTGAATCACCAATCGTCGGGCCTCTACGAATTAACAAGTATGATACTAGAACCCCGTCTCCTGCATCGAAACACTGTGTCACTCCACCATACCCAGATGACCGTCCTCGTCCATATCAAGCATCCAGTTCCAGTTCGACAGCGGGGAGTGACCGGACGGGATCCCCAACAATGAACATTCAAACGTCTACACCAGCCATCTCTGGCCCGTTGAGACCGTCGGATTATCCTCCAGCTTTGCGGCCGCGGGACGGTCGTGAAGCCAGACCGGCTACTCTGGCAGAGAGGCGGGGAAATGCTCCCAAACCCCTGCCAGAATCGCCCGGCCCAGATGTACCGGATAAAGAAGGACTGTTTCGTAAATACACGCGAGTCCCAGCTGCAGCTCCTCCTGCGCCGAATGGCAATGCATACGTGAATTACCGGCAACAATATTACCCGCCTCCCCAGCCCTCATCTACTCCTAAGCCTGCTTCAGCAGCCGCAACAGCATCGCACTTACAAGTTCCGAATGGAAATAATGCGATCGGCCGGATTAGCTCGACAGCATCGAGTTCGACCACCCGCGCTCAACGGGGTTCTCCTCCCCCGCCGGAAACTCCCGTAGTTGGTCCCGGCCAACAGCCGGGATCTGATATCGAGGCCCGATACGCAGCTTCTGGGATCGCTGGAACATCGACACTAGCTGGTCTTCAAGTGCAAAACTCTGCTGCACAGAGAAGGGTGGAGCCCTATGCTCACCAGCCACCAAGGCGGCCATGGACCCCAACCGAACAACCAGGCACCCAACCACATGGACCTCCGACAGTTTATCAAGGCGACAGCATTGTGAGCGCTGATAATCCACCGGCTAGTCCTATCCCAATCCAGCATACGGTTCCACCTTCACAGTCGGCTCCACCTCAGCAACAGCCATCGAGGATTCCACCAAATGCATTAGAACAGGACCTTGACAGGATGCGGATTTCGTCCTCTCCCCCTCCGGCCTACTCAACTGTTTCAGGACCGGCTGCCTCTCAAGGGTATCCCATCGAAAAGCAGCGCCCAGCTGCTTCGTCCGCTCCTCCCGGGCACCCGGCAATAACGGCTCCAACAAACGGGGCTACTGTGTCTACTAACGGTGCTGCCATCGCATCGCCAATGGTCACCGCTCAGGACCATCCAGCTTTTGCAAATGACCCAAGACCACCCATGCAGTCTCAGAATGGCATGCAGAATGAGCAACAGGTCGCCTTTCAGCAGCAGCCACAGCAACAGCAACAGCCACAGCTGCCGCCGCAGCCCTTGGTCAGCCAATCTCCGGCACCATCGGGCATGCCTCCGGCATCTCCTCCACCGCTACCAGAAGGTTGGATGGCGCATCTGGACTCCAACTCTGGGCAATACTATTATATTCACCTGCCGACTCAGTCGACGCAGTGGGAGTTCCCCAAGGGCCCGACGCCGTTGAATCTTAATGACACGCCATTGTCTCCAGTAGGCAGCATTTACAGCAGTCATCCTCTTGCGTCCCCGGCATTGTCTACGTTTAAGCCTATGGTATCCCCGGGCCTTCCTATGACACCAGGTTTCGAAAGCCTGCAATCCCCTGTCATGGGTGGTTTCACTGGGCCCCCTCCCAGCTGCGGGGTTGATTTGTACAAGGTAGCACCAACAAACGGCGTCTACTTTGGGCCCTACCTTCGATACACCAACATGGACATTGAGCACGGCATTTGGCTTGGTTCCATCCTTCTGGTCACCGATGCCGCCCAACCACCAACAATACACATTCATCAAAGTCTCGACCTGTCGCCTAGCCCACGCCAATTGAAAGCCGTTGGCATTTCTACTCATCAACGATGGACATTCTACAGGTATGACGTCGACTTGCAGATGGACGAGTCTGGGCCTGCAAAATGGACCTATGCCATCACATCACACTTGGGTTGTACCAGATACGAGTTCCTGGTTGCCGGCCGGTATGAGACAAATTGGCGTTTTATCACAACCTCAGGAAACGATTTCTCTCTCAACGTCAACGCCAATGATCGAGCCCGTATGGGAGGCGTGGGACTCATGTGGAAAGACATTATGCAAAAGCATAATGAAATCGGAGGCTTCCACACCCAGTTATGTCTTGGGGGTCAAATTTACGCAGATCGAATGTGGAAAGAGATCGCATCACTGAAGCAGTGGCTTGCGATCAGTGGTAAAGATGCAAGGAAGAACATGCCTTGGACGGCGGCGCATCAGGAAGATGTTTCTCATGCATACTTCCACTATTACACAAGCCACTTTGACCAGCCTTATGTGAGGGAGTCGTTTGCTCAGATTCCTTATATCTGTCAGCTTGATGATCATGACATGTGAGTTTTGATCTCCTTTTTATTAATGAACCACAGGCTAATAGGTTTTAGTTTCGATGGATTTGGCTCATACCCTGATCATATGCAATTTTCGAACATGTTCAAGAACATTGGCCGCGTTGGTATCGATATGTATCTGCTCTTCCAGCACCACACGACGCTTGACATCCTCCATAACGCCAGATCCGATTTAGATATGTTCACGGTTACGGGAACAGGTTGGCACTTTGTCAAATACTTGGGGCCAGCGGTGGTGGTAGTTGGCGCTGACTGTCGCTCGGAGCGCAATCCACACCAAGTCATGGCGGGTCCAACATACCAGGGCATTTTCCCCAAGGTAGCGATGCTACCACCATCCGTGCAACACTGTCTATGGATGCTCTCTGTGCCAATAATCTACCCACGACTGGAAACAGCCGAGCACATCGCACATACTGTCGCCACAGGGAAACGAGCTGTCACTGGTGCATATAACGTCCTCGGAAAGGTAACCAGTTCTGTTGCCGGTGTAGTCGGCGCAAAAGACATGGTAGGCTCTGGGTTCGATTCCGTCAAGCGCGCCGTGGGTAAGTCAGGGCTCATGGGCGGGATACTAAGCCCATTTGGGGAGTTCGATCTCATGGACGAACTCCGCGATCAATGGACACACGAATCCAAAGAACTCGAGAGAACTTATCTCATCCGCACTCTCCAAACAATCGCCCAATCCAAAAACATCCGTATGACCTTCCTTTCCGGTGCTGTCAACGTCTGCGGTGCAGGCCTCGTCCACGACCCGACCCGCCCCTCGGACCATAAAACAATGTACCAGCTCATTTCATCGTCAGTTGTTAACGGCCCACCTCCATCATACATTCTCAAGCTCCTCCACAGCAGTAACAAGCCGCTCTACGTCCCCGCCAACGGTCACCGGTCCAACTCACAGCCGACTGATACTAAGGAGGATATGATGGAGGTCTTTCAGACGGACGTGACGGGCCAGCCTCGGGAGTATCGAAAGCTGATGGGGAGGAGGAACTATGCTGCTGTCGTTGCTTATGATCCTGAGGCTGTTAGTGCGGCGTATGGGCAGCAAACAAACGGTACAGGACACGGAGCTGGAAAGTTGAATCTTGCGGTGGACTTCATGGTGCAGGGAGAGGGGTTGTATCCGACTGTTGCCAAGTATGGGCCGGTAATTGTTCCAAGTTTGGGGCCGGGGAAGTGATGGTTCTTATTTAATGTTTTTTTAATGTTTTTATTGGAAGTTTCTATATACCAAGCATGTCCCATTTACGTACTCAACTCTTGTTGCCAATGTATATTCCACTACACAGACAAAAGTTACTAAGGCCTAGTATCAGTCACATGGTGTCAAAGGACTTTTGTCCAATTCCGCTTGAGCCGCCTGGCTTAGCCCCCAAGCGTCAGCCGCACTACGCGCCCCTCATCCCACTGTTGAGCTAGAATTGAATGTCACAATGAGCTTCAGCTATGGCGTGGGGTATTTTCTTGTCATTGTGAAGCTGGTGGATACAGTGCGGAAGCAACCTACAGATGCGCCAGGCCAGTATAAAGTCATTTCGGACGAGTAAGTCGCATAACTTGGAATCTTGGATGAAACTGACAAGCTGTTAGTGTCAAGCGATTGTCATATATGCTACGTGATATTGAAGATCAAGATCTCGGTGATAATCTAAAGGATCAGCAGAAGCAAGCTCTAAACGATATCTTGAAAGGCCACCGCGATCTGCTAGGTGGGCTGAACCGCACTCTCGTCAAATATCATGACATAGGTCCGACTGGGAAGGATGTTAATGTTAATGGCGTCAGGAGAGTAAGTCGTTGAGTATGGAAGACATTGATTTGTGACCAGAAAGAAATATAGATGTATTTCGGTAACGGGTTTCGGCAAACATTAATACGTTCAATCTCTTTCTCAACGAGATGAATAACCAATTGAACAGGGAAACAAAAGACCTAGCAGTCATCACTCAGCAGGGAGTCAACCAGCTTGTTCAACACCAAGACGAAAAGAGGCGGCAAGATATCCTCAAATGGCTTTCTCCAATAAACCATGCGGACAAGCAAGCTGACTTGTTCGGTCGAGTGCAAGAAGGCACCGAGACCTGGCTCTTGGAGACCAAGAAATTCAAGAACTGGATAACTCAAGATCACGGCACGCCGACCAACGCACGCTATTTTGTCCTGGACTACTGGTAGATACAGGCAAGACCATCTTCATGTCAGTTGTGATCAATGAGGTCCAAGAGAATTTGCAATAAGCTGGGGTTAATGTGGTTTTTTTTTTTTTTTTTTTCTATTGTAATTTCAGGGAGAAGGTGAGTCTCGATGGTTTGTTTACCGTTATCCTACGACAGTTAATCCAATAATTACCGTCTATTCCCAAGGATAAGGAGACGCTCTATGAAGCGAGTTTTGATTCAGGTACACGGCTCACTCTGGAAATATTCAGACTGCCCTAGACTGCTATATTGGAGTTCTCACGGTCTTTCATTGTTATTAATGCAATGGATGAGGGCGAACTTCCAGGCGACTCTCGGAAGAAGTTTCTCATAGAGCTGTTCGAACTTCAGAAGGAGCATGAGTTCGATCTGTTTTGCGATGTCCAGGGGCAATTCAGATATCGCGGGACTGTTTAGCGGGAGATCGACTCTCGAGATTCGTGCCCACACGGAAGATGTTGAAAGTTTCCTACGGGGGTGAATAGGAATCTTTCCAAGTGTCGTTTAAAAAGAGGGCCTGGTTACTGTCTGTGCAGGCCTTGTGACGGTTGGTGAGCAAAGCCATGTTGTCCGATTGGCTCACTATACAAGGCAAGAGTACTTTGAGAGACACTGGGCTCGCATCTTGCCTGATACGCATTACGGGATCGGAAACCTCACTCCATCATGCAGTGGTGATGGATCATAAAGAAATGGTCAAAATCCTTCTCGAAGTCAGTGCTGATATAGAGACAATAGACTTGGCGGATCATACCTCTATCGACTGCGCAGCACCACCTGGGAAGGACAGGAATAACAGGCCAGGCCACACTCCTCTAATATCTGCAGCAGAAGCCTGAAATGAGGCAATGGCCAAGAAAGTCTCTGAGCCAGATCATGCGGATAGAATGGGCCGAACCCCGCTGATGCACACTATGAGACATTACTACGAGATGGCGAAGCATCTCCTGGCGCGAAGAGAAAGACCGGACGCCGAGGACGAAGACGGCGAAACTCTGTTGTCCATCGCTTCACAGCGTGCAAAGAGCCAGTGGTTAAATTGCTCCTAGAGAATATTTCTTGTCTAAACAGTCCAGTCTTGCTGGTATAACCGAACTATGAACCTTCCGGGGCAATCCCGATGCTAATATCTTGTAGGACACTTCTGAGCTTGTCCTTCCCATTCGCGATATCAACATTCTGGGAGCCGATTTTGCTGAGGACCCGATTTCGATCATACCCACCCAAGATGAGCGGGCCTGGAATATCCGGGTTCACTGATCCGACGTACATGCCATACGAATATGATGGAAGTTTATTGACTCCGCCTTTGCTGTACGGCCAGCCTGCAAGCAAGTTGAATGTAGAGGTGTAATCGACCACCGAATGAGTTAGCTTAGGCGCCCCAGCGACAGAAAGGCAACGGAAACCGGATAATTGGTGCCACCGGGTTATGTCTTAAAAGGTTCGTAGATCGCATTCATGCTAATGCTCGGTACAATAGGGCTAATGACACACTGTCGGCAAGGGCCCCTTGATGACGATACCCTGCAATAGGACTCCATTTATCGCTGGCTGGTCACAAGACTGAGTCCGGAGTGACGGCCGTATCTCACTCGTTAATGTTAAATGCTCCAGCGCGTTCCGCATAACATGTGGATGATAGAATTTGTTTGAACAGAGAGTATTAATGATGACTGTGCTAACCTAACTGGGATATATATTAATATTATATCTATTGCTTCCTAATCGTACACTGGCGGCATGCCATGGACCATCGGGACATTTTCGTGGTCATGTTCTTGGACAATGGCTGTGGTTGCACGATATGTTTAGCTGGAGCGTTATAGCGCCTCGGCGCTATGATAATTTACATGTCAAATATTCAGCTCATCTCAATTCTCATTGGAAACGAAAGGAGAGATAACCAGAGAGTATCAAGTCTGATTCTTGACCTTTTCAAGAGCCTCCCTAGACATTCCTATTAAAGGCCTTAATATCGAGAAGGTCAAGAAGGTAGCATATGAACAGGGTCTTCTTACACTTGTCAGAGAAAAGACAGGAGGTAAAGGAGAAGCAGGACAGAGAATCGAGTCTCGTAATTCCACCCAGCTATTGGGCAACACATTCAAATTTGGACAAATACATTGTTGTCTTTTCAACTTTGTCGGAAGAAGCTTGAAATGGTGCCTGGGCATGTCCAGATTCCTTTCCTGTGGATCTTGGGTTTTGTATGTAACTGCCTCGCTATCCATGATTCCCTGCATCATTTTGGTGCTTCGATAGTACTGAGGATTGTGGTGCGTTCTTGTTTCCACTATTGAGCCGTTTTGTGAAATCCATCTGCTTAGTTAAGTGATTGCAACGGGCTCGTGGCAGTGGTCTAAGAGCTAACCGCGCGGTCTTGGTTTGGACGGAGTCTGGCCTTTTGTAGAGACCTCCGTGTTGAACGCTATTGACTTATGCCTGTGTCAATTACTATTATTCAAGTCTAAGTAGCATGCCAGAGACGCGTACAGGATCCATATTATCGGCTTCATGCCAAACATCTAATATTTATCTGGCCGCTCACATACCAAATCAAGAGTATACCAATTCAGACTCAGTGGCTACTATTGTAGACAGCTGTACTTTGACGTAGACCATTTACTATATAAGCACTCAATAATAGAAGGTATTCAAAAGAAACTAACATAGTTGCCTAAGTGATATATCAGTATCTCACTCTAAACTGTATGCACATCAGGGAGGAACTAGGGCTGCCCACCATTCAACTTCACACTGGTACGTCGGAGACTACTGATTCAATAATCAACAAGAGGGAACACCAGAAGAGAGAGCCGGCCTCGCACATAGTGCTTACGGACATCCCCCTGACCTTGCTCAAGCTTTGAATGGCCGGCACAGCCACGTGGGTGAATAAGAAATGAGGATCTGCTGTGATGAATACCCTCAAAGTTAATTGTCAAGCTATCGAATGCATCTCATGAAGCTGATCACGGAAAGGCTCTTGGAACGTGCAATTGACTTTTAAAGTTTCCGAATGGGCTTTATTGATGATCTCGGGTCTATATAGTAAATAGTCTAAGAGTTTAAAGGTGGTGGCTGCTGATCAGGATCGCCCGCTCTCGAAGTTTGTGAACTCAATCGCAAATAGCGCCATGAGATCATATCTTGCCAAAAATGGCACGACCTCTTATCTTCCGAATAGGGATACTTTTACTAGTCATGGCCGGAGAATCATCACATCACAGCAAACAGGTGGCCGTGGGTGGAGCAACCCTGGCTATCACTCTTCCTATGCCCTACTAACCCTCCGACTGAGCATAACCACATCTTCGGGTAATAGACGCTGATCAAGATTGCTCCTTTTGAATGCAGGTTGTTCTCATTGGATCTCCAGTTTTAGAGGCCCTCCCGTTACTCCTTATTGAGAGCCTAGCTCTACTACTATGGACAGAAGACATCACAGAAAGGTAGAGTATGACATTGTCTGCAAAGAAGCACGCATTAGCAAAATCCTATAGCAAGGAGGTATATAGCGTCGCATCTAGGAGTAGTCCAGGCATGTAGAATAATGCAATTTGCTTGATGGTATTCGGTCGCGGGCCGAACAGGTATCGAATATCAAGTTAACTGGAAAGGGAGTGCGGGGGATGCCCAAGAATGTTTAATGTTTAATGATGCCATAGCAGTATCAAATGCAGTATTGGGAGACCGAAGCTAGGGGCTGGGGAGAGGTGTTGCTGTGATGCACAGCTTTGAGCAATGACCGACACAATACAGGATATTATCAAGGCATGCTCAATTTCCAAGAATATCAAAGATACCCATGAGGAAAATCCTTTTTTATCCGTGAGTGATATTTCACCGTTCTGAAGTAAGGGAAGTAAGGATACCGGCGAGGGAGAAATAAAATCAAGTGAAGAAGTACCATGACGATGAATCAGAAGTAGTCAATTTTTGTTTTCTTATTCCTAACACTGGAGTTCATTGTCGGGTTTTGTCACCTGAATACCAAGGACAGACTGCACATTGTTGCTATAGAAGAGATGAGAACTGAAGAGAGAAAGACAGAAATCGAAATGCAGCGCGATCCCGTGACATGTGGGTCGATACTAGAATCCGGGGTAGCTGTGTCATTCCTATTTGGGTTAGACCGGTTATAGAGCAGCTACGGGTATGCAGTGTTTTGTGCATCAAAATAAGCCTTGTATGTGCTACTCAAATCTAGGTATATCTTTTGGCATAGTAGAGAGTATCTTGTCCCTTTCAGTGGCCACTAATCCCAATCGTATTTAATACGCTCGGACTTAGATAGACCAGATGACCACACGGCCATCAACTCCGCTAGCTATAATAAATTGTTAGCCGTAAGCTGTATGCCTGTGTTGATGAAGGGGTTTCTTACTGCTAAACTTGCTGACAGCACCGTTCGCATCCTCATAAGCTCGGATCGTGCTGATGGTATTCTGATGGGTCGTTTTAAGCTGGGTATCAGCCTGCGTCTGGCCCTTAAGATCCATCTGACGAAACATGTTGAGAGCAGTATCCTCTCGAACGCTCCCAGCACCTCCTCCAGATTTGCTCTCAATTGGTCCAATGAGGTTCCATCTACTCTCATCGCCCTGGAAGCGATACGGTTCGCAGTCCTACGCGTCGTCTAATTAGTATACATAAATAGTGGGAAGAGACATAAAAAAGTAAAGTGAACTTACATGACCGGCAGCAATAATCTCATTCTCCCCGTTCCAGATAAGGCAGTTGAACGGCAAGAGCCGGGTGGGGATGTTCAGCATTGCTCGAGGAGGCTGTTCCGGAGCACTCGGGTACACGACCGTGATACTGCTGTCATGGCCAGTAAAAGCGAGGGCATCTCCACTTGGTGAAAAGCCCACACCATGAATCCATCCGGCTGAATCGTTCAGGAATTCGCCGCAGATGGTGTTGAACGGGAGACGCTCTCCCCAGGCGCTTGGTTCTGGACGAGTGTCAACCCCCTTAATAAAGCCCGAGAGAACTCTAGCATGGGAATCGGTCGATCCAGCAGCGAGAAGCACAGAGTTCGGATGCCAAGCAAGAGTAGTGATGGTGCTCCTAATCGGCTTCTTTAAGTGCTTCGAAATCCACCAGTCGTTCTCCTCTTCAAAATAGCAAACCGAGATCACACGAGCTCCTGAGCCAACAGCGAACTTGCGCTCAGACGGAGACCACCGCACAAACGTCGCGGCCCTGTTGATCCGAAGAAGGACCAATGTCGGCTTCCAACCAGAAGGAGTTTGTTCCCAGACGTATGCGTTCCGGTCTAAAGGGGTGGTCAGGAAGTTAGCATACGCACCCTTTCGAGGACCTGCTGTGAAGCAAAAGTACCTTGAGAGCAAGTAACAATCTTTCCACTGTTAGGCGCAATATCAACGCTTGTAACAGTCTTCTCGTGGCCTTTCAGCTCATCAGTCAAGGAAAACTTGTTGCCTGCTGTCTGGTAGAGCTCCACATTGCTATCCCGCGCAACGGCAAGCGTTTGCTTGTCCGAAGAGAACGAATGGTCAGCAATGGGATTATGAAAGAGGTGGTGAGCTTGCGGGGTGGCCATTGTAAAGTAAGACGACAGGAGGAGCTCTCTACTGTCGTTCAGCTGTTGCTTGGTGTTTAAGGGGATGAATTATTAGTGGAGAGAACCCCGTATGTACAACTATTATTATGACGCGGGCCATGAGATTAGATAATAAGTCACATGACCATATACGTAGAACGTCAAGCTAGTTTTCTCTCGCGACGGAACTCCAGGTAGAGACAGGCAAGCAATAGCAGCAGCAACAAAACCCAATCTTTCGCTTAGGGACAACTTCTTAACGGGTCCTATTTCCTTTCTTCATTCACGTAATCAAATTTTATCTCTGCGATAGACCTATCGAAGTCTCTTGCGTTCGTCCTTGGAGGGTCCCCGAAAATGGCTACAAAAGCTATACCTACGCGTAATAATACACAAAACAAAGCTCCTGGAGCTGGTTTTCCAAACCAAACGTCAGTATTCTCCTTCCTTTCATTCCGTTATTCTTCGATGTGGATAATTAGGCAATTCTGACAATCTTCGCAGACTGTACTGCACCAACCTACCAGATAAGATTCGGAAACACGACCTGCGACTATCGCTTTATACCCTTTTTTCTACCTACGGAGTTGTCTTGGATGTTGTCGCCATGAAGACAGCTAAGATGCGCGGTCAAGCCCATATTGTGTTTAAAGATATCCAGGCTAGTACACAAGCTATGCGGGCTCTCCAGGGGTTTGAGTTCTTTGGTAAAGAAATGGTATGCTATCTTTACTTGTGCTCTTATATAAAAATCAGCCTCGCTTACTTTTTTTTTTTTTTTTTTCTTAGAAAATCGTTTATGCCAAGGGAAGTTCGGATGTCCTTGCTAGACTACGTGGCACGTACAACCTCCCGGCTCCGACTGCCCCAGTCGGCGGCGTTTCGACAGACCTGCAGAAATCGATATTCAGCGGTCCTCCCGGATCGACAGCGCTGCCTCCTAAGCCCACTAGTGGAGTCAATGGTGAGGCACAAGCAGCCCAAGGAGTTAAGCGACAGCGCGAGGAAGAAAGTGATGAGGAGACACCGATGGATGAGGATAGCGACGTTCCAATGGAAGCATCGTCGGATGAAGATTAATATGGGTCCACCACGTTCGTGTGTGGCCGATTTCAGGGGGGGACGGAGAGAGGGCAAAGGGAAAGGGGAGACAAATGAAAGAAAAGAGAAGAGCGAAGATGACTTTTACTCTGTCTGCTTCAAAAGTTATTGTTGTCCAAGGCGTTCTGTGGTTCTTGCACCTGCTTCCGTTGCAAAAAGCTCAGACGGCATATGCAAGCCAACGCAATGTCCTACCAACCCGAGCCAAATGACGAGATACGTCTCGGGTGTGACATCCTGCCCCCCTGCGATGTGTCTCATGGCATCCGCAGTATTGCAAGGATGGACGAAAAAGGTGGGCGCGCCAGTTATTGGATGATACTATTGAGATGTGAGTCGTGAAGCGGTCTGGAACCGAGCACATGGCACCTACATCGAAACTGATACCACCTATAATACCGACACTCTTCAATTGCTTTCGATACTCGTCCGGCACCAAGTACTGGTAAACCACGTCTATTCCGAGCACTGGACCTTTGTGATTTATCCACCGTAACGTGAAGTACAGGACGGGAACTTGATACGTGGGAGAGAGGGCGATATCATAATCCACCTGTAAGGATGCATTGGGTTCGATTGCACGAATGAGAGTTTCCTGGTCACTAGTCAGAAGACGCCAAATCAAATGTACTGTATATTTAGGGCCCAGTGTTCACGAACAGGATCATGTTCGGAATCGTCTTCCAGCTGCAGTTCTTGAAGATTCTCGGGCTCATACACTAATGCATTTTCTTCGCCGTGAACACCGATATTTTCAATATGCCGTGATATCTTGAGCATCGAATCACTTGTCTAGTAGACCGAGATTTAAATTAATTAAGAGAGAGAACAATCGGTAGGGAAATTTTCTACTTTTAGACAGACCTGCAAAGGGAAGACGAACTACCTGTTGATGTACAAACCGAATCGACAACCCTGTGTCCGAACTTGAGATCTGCCATGCGTGGAATCGGTCGCATAAGACACGACACCCATAGTCAAATTCATCTGGTTTCAGAAAAGGGAAGCCCATCAAGGGTTCTTGGCTCGGTCTAGAAGGAGTAAGAGACGCCATCTCCGAAGTCCATGCGACTTGTCAAGACGCGGTGTACTCCGGGGAGACCGTATCATCCGACACGATTGACCGACAGAAGTGAGGCACAGCGCCGCTAAACCCGTCAGCCACGAGCCTGACAGTCGTCACTCTGTATTGTTCGTGTATGTCTTTGCGCTTCTTGTACTGTTCGAGAAGTGTATCAAAGTGGTATGTGGCCACCCATTCGTCCTCGGAAATTGACAACAAAGCAATTGAGCCCAATAACAACCAGTTGCAGTAACCGACACGACGACTGACGTTAGAGGTGATTGAAGGGATAGCAATCGTACATAGTCGCCGCAGCAGAAGTAATAGTTGCAAGTAGTAAAAAGTTAACTAAGGTTTCCTAGTTAGCCGCAGACGGAGGGGGGCGGTGAAGTCACATTATTTCCGAATGCGGTAAGGCAGTGGAATGACGCTCCGCTCGTCCTTTCTCTCTCCGTCTTCCCTCTACCACAAGATTACTCGTCCCTGTGGCTGATCTGCAGAACTGTCGTTCCCCCCGGGTCTATCGGTCCTGTCCGGCTTCGCCATAGTGGCTGATCGTTACAAAGACTGATTATCCGTCTTATCGACATACCCTATTATGCATCCGTCCCGCTGCTTGCGGCGCAACAACACCAAGACGCGGTCTGTTGCATATCTTGGATGAAACGGGAAAATGAAATCTCGATAACCTGCTGGTCTACATCCATTGAATGTGGGATAATGAGGGCACATCATTACTCAAATGCTACGACGTGTTAGGTTTCATCATTCTCTTCCCCTCAAGGGCAGCAGAAGCAACAGAAGCAGCCGCAACAGCGTTACCAGCGACATCTGCATAATCTGCAATGCTTCCATGGCGTTCTGATACCCCAGTCGACCGCATTGTCAGGCTGTACATGCTCTTTGCAGCTCCCGGTGGATCAGGACGCATCCGTCGTGGTTGAAGTGTTTTCGTGCATCGTGGAGCTAGATCATGGCGCCATGGGTCTTTCTACCCACCCCTTGGTTTAGCTTCTTATGTAGCTTACTCTTCCCCCTTCTATAGCCCCTCAAGATTCTTTGTGCTCCAATCCTATTTCATTTATGACTCTGTTTTCTTGTTCTTTGCGTGCCATCTTCGTTGCTTCTTTTCTTGTTTCGGATGTTTAGCTTTTGATACCCATTCTTCTTTTCCTCAATTTTTATTTGAGAAAAGAAAAAAACCTCTTATTCCGTTTTCCAGGTGCTTCTATACGCTGCTCTTCCCAGGTGGAAGCTCTAGATCACTGGTCTTGTTGGCCTTCCAACGCCGCCCCCTGAGATCAACTATTCTTGGGTACTTATCATTCATGCTGCGCATGTCCCATCCGGAAAGTCCCAGAGGAAGAAGTGGATCCTGATTCCATCTTGATCGCATTGACGCCATGGGAAGCTTCCACTCCATCCCAAGCCGATCTGGGCGTCGCCGTACGAATCGTCTGTCGAAGCCGTTGACAAAGAAGGTGTCATTCCTCAGCCCTATCAATCGCAAATCACGGCCTACGGATTCGAATACCGCGTCCCCGGTGTCGCCTCGTTCTGCTCCTCGGAAAGATCCACTGAACAATGCTTCTGTCCCTGTCAATTCGTCTGTATCAAATTACCATGCTCCCCTGCCACAATCGCTTCGTTCTGCGCCGTCTCAATCAAAGTCACTACGAAGAGTCTCCGCTTGGTCAAGGAACAAGCCAATCGCTGAAGAAAATCCAGACGAGCATCGCCATGATCTCCCGAATCCGAATCCTAACACCACCGCCTCCATGAGCAGGCGGCCTTCCCTTCGGCCAACCCGAAGAGCTTCTTTTCAGCCAGAATCTTTACGCGATTTTTTCCGACCAGGCAATACACCGAGACAACCAAAAAGATCCTATTCAGTTCAATCGCTTCCTCAGAGCCCCAGAGGCACCATCTACGAGGATGCGCTGGAGGAAGCCACGTCTTCCAACACGTATTTCATGGTGGATAATCAGCGGTTCTCCCTAACTCGCCGGCGCTCTCTTCTCACGCGGCCCGGAGTAGCTACAAGGAAACCATCACGACAATCCGTCAGAAGACTATCTCCGCCAATTAACCAAGATCCCGAAAGCCCATCCGACGGATTCGCTGAGAAACAAACATTATTACAGCCACCGTTTCTCGAAACCGAAGATACAACTGCGAAATCTATTTTTGCCTCTACCTCTACCCGTCCGGACACTCCAAGCGATTTCGAGTATACCCATTTGGGTGCGCTCAAGTTGGGTTCTTTGCGAGTTGTCAATGGCTCTGCATCTCCGTCTTCCAGTGATCGGACGCGCTTGAATATCCCTCGCAGCACGTCACCTGAGATCTCTTCGGACGATGTGTGTACAAAAGAGTCAACAGTTACAACCCACACCAATAGCCAAAAAGTCTACGGTCATAGGTCAAGCTCTGGAAGCAAACGGAAGACGACAAGTAGCGATACTTCTATGCTTCAGATCTCTGCTTCGCCTGATAATGAAGACGCTCCTGGAAGCCCATTTTCTTTTGAGTGTTCACCAACGATGGCAGCAATCCCAAGACACGCGTCATTCCTTACACAAGAAGAGGATGAGGGAATATCATTACCAAACGAAAAGAGCCTGATCGACGATGGCGCTAATCTTTTGTGGAAGACTCATATGAAGCCACACTCTCGAAAGAGGCTTTCGCAATCTCTCGCAAAAGCTGACAGTGGCTACAGTTCCACTACGTCCGCCCGCTCTTCACAAGATAAACCTACTAGGAGATCTATAGATTCTCAACGACCAGGCAGACAATCCCGGGGGTCTCGCAAGGTCTCCACCAGCTGCGGGTTCGAAAGACACGGAGATCACGTCGAAAACTCGTTGGGCTTGAATTACCTGGATCCGATTCGACGCCATTCCAACCGTCAAGTTTCTAGGTATGAAAGATCGCAGCAGTTACAACCGGACATGCCGCTCTGGAGCCCCCGTTTTGCAGATTCTACGGCTCTCAGGCGTGCTATGTCTTTTTCTCGGCCATTTGGGCCGTTGGACAGCCTCGAGGCCTCTATCAAAGACGCCACCGAGGCGCCAATTCCTCAGAGGCGACGGGCAAGCAGTATTGGAGGCCGAGCGTCCCACCCCTATCAAAACTTTCATGCTCTGAATTCTTCCCGGTTGTTGCGCCATCAATCAATTTCTTTTACCGGTACGGAACAAAGGATCCCTGGGGTTCCGGGCATATATAACACTCGGGACTATACTCGCCTCAACAACGCAGACACAGCAGGCTACAATCGCTTTGACCATTATCGACCTCAAAACCAATCTATACACCGATCATCTACGGCGAGGGCCAAACAAACTAGAGCTGACATGGTGAACGAACATTACCATCAGTCAAACAACAACTTAGGTGGTAAATCTGTGTTGCCAAGGCATAGCACTGATTTTGCCCTGCGGAAATCCATTTCTTTCCTGGAACGAATGGAACCCGTGGTAGAAACGGACTATGGGACTCTAGCCGGAGGGTCTTGTAACAGGGTTAGGAACCCAAGCATTGATGAACAGCAAACCAAATATGCTCGACCTGTCAAGCGTCGGAGTCTCAACATGTCTACTTCCCCGTTTATTTTCAAATGAATAACGACACCGGAGAACATGCGATACGACCTTTTTTTCCTTTTCTTTTCTTTGTTACCCTTTCCATATAAAATTTTTAGTATATACGAATGTTCAAAAGTTCACGGTATGGTTATGCAGCTACGTTGGGAGAGGGCGGGATTTTGGATATACCACCATTTTTATTGAACTGTCAGCGGTCTGGTTTACGAATTTTACTTACTATTTAATGAGCGCTTGTGTTATCGACCGAATGGCCAGCGACTACTTGTATATACTACACATTAATATTACTATTATTGGGGATTTCTATTGTGACAAAGCAAACGAGTATGTAGCGGTGAGGCCCTAACGGGGTGTCTAAACGAGCGCCCTGCCGAACATGCATCTGTCAGATTGCCAACTAGGTCTTGATAGTTTCAGAATGATTTGAAAAAGAGCATTAAGCACAAACCAAGGTATCATTGTGTGTTGTCTGGGATTGATATATCTATGCGATGTGCCTCAACACTGTAAGGATCTGCTAAGTTTAAGAGCAACTACATTTTGTTGAATGCAATAATATATCAAAATGAAAAAAAAAAAAGAAAGAAAAGAAATATGCATATACAAGAGAATAAAAGAATATACACGCTGTACTATTCAATCTATGCTCAAGTTTCATCTACCGTAAAAACAGGGTACGTACTTATACTCGCGTATCTGCTCGGCATGTCGGTATGGAGCACTAGTGCCCTGTACCTACTGAGTACTTGACACGTTTAAACATTTGTCAATGTGTTGGTACCTGGGGTGGGCTTCTGAATACAGGGGTCCCTGGCATAGCTCGTGTTTCGTATTGCGAACACGATGCTCTACTTTTTATACTTTAGATTTAGGTATCAATGTGTTGGCCACTTGTGCATTAGTCTAATGTAGTGAAATATCGAGAGAAAGACTCCATATGACAGATCATTAATTGATATGCTAGTTATTAATAAAAAAGACCTATAACTCATGAAAATGCAAAGTAAAAGCAACCCGCTTCTAACAAAATCCATAGTTCATGCAATATAGATGCAATCCAGATGGCGTCTTGAAAAAATGGGGAAAGTCGATTCGAGAAAATAAATGCGGTGTCCCATCCTCCAACCATATCATAGTCCCATATAATTAAGCATAGCAATGGAAACTCCAGATATCCAGCAAATATCAAACCACATATGAAATCCTTTATTCAATCCGAATCTTCTTCATCTTCGGTGTCGGCTCTTTAGGGAGCACCAGCGAGAGGACCCCATTCCTCAAGCTAGCCCTGACCGTATCTTGGTCAACTCTTGTAGGGAGATTAAAGACTCGGTGGAATTCGCCAATAGCACGCTCTGAATGTCGATACTTGTACGCTGGCTTCTGAGCTTTCTCGGCAGCAGACTTCTCAGAGTAGGTTGGTGTCGCCACAGGTGATGAGTAGTTCGCCTCGTCCTCATCTTCGACAGTGGGTTGGTACGACTTGTTAGAGGAGACTTCAGAGGATTGTCCCTCATATTGCTGGCTTTCCCCAACCATATTGTAATTCCGCTCTACTCGACCCTTGATCACGAGCGTCTGGGAATCAGAGAATCCAATATCGACATGGTTCGGATCAACACCGGGGAGCTCTCCATCAAGATAATAGGCCTCATTCACTTCCTGCAGATCAAAGTTCGGGCTGAAGTAGCGAACTGGGAAAGGCTGGCGATAGTTATGGCATTGCTTGTGGTGGTGGTTGTGCTCTGGACTAGTCGAGCGGTGGACATCATAGTCGTCGTCCAACAAGTAGAGCAGAGGCGACAGATTGGTGGTGTAGTGTGGGAAGAATGCCATTTTGTTTGTCTTGTTTGGATGTTAAGGGAAGGAAGGCTTAAAGCTTTGGAAGTAGAAGAGTAGTCGCTTGCTCCTGTTAGAGTGTAGAACCAGTTATTCTGATATGAGATAGTTGATGAAGACAAGTCAATCAAATGGGCGCCCCAAGCCATGATTTTTATATTCATCGAGCCCTATTCTAGAGCCCACGCGCATGTACATTTGAATCAAATTGAATTGTCAGGAACCGTGTGCTGGTTGTCCCTTGAAGCCTCAAGATGCTTCGAGATCACGGGCCGATAAGATAAGATCTGCCCAGGTCCTACGGGAAGCCTGTGGAACCTTCTGTGACATTTAGGAATTCGATGTCACATGACCTCCATCCGTCGATGCGACCTCCCGCGACCATTCTTGATTATTTATTGATTATTCAGGTCGATATTCTTTTTGCTGCATATATCGCTATGACCCCTGTTCAATCTTACAGCTCCTTCTCGCGGGGGTCGACGACTGTCAGTTGTTGACAGTATGTCTTCGATTATTATCGGATATTGCGAATTCCTGGAGACGAATACATCTCGAGTTGTCTTTGGCCTTTGCGCAAAAAGTACTCGATCGCGGTGAAGTCTTTTTTGCCGATGAAGATATTCTTCTGGAATTCCGCCCTACAGCCATTGTTAACTTTGGTTTCAAGCGATTGCGACATTTCTCGCGACTCTTGAATAGACACAAGCCTGAAGACGCACCTAGTATATGCTTTGAAGTTATCCCGTGACTCCTGTTCGGACGTACAAATTAGCAAGGTTTTCCTTTCGATTGGTCTAGGGTTTGGTAAGTCTGAGCTTACCACAGGCTTTTTCCGGATTTCCCGTAGGCATTTCCGATAAAGAGATAAGACATCTCGTTGAAGACCTGACAATCGGGCCATTGATGTACATAGAGATAGAATGCGAGAATGTAGAGTAAAAGCTCTCTGTTCGGTTGGAATTGACTGATAGAAAAAAAGAGAAAAAATAGCTACTATCTTACATCATTGGTTCCGTAGCTCCGTTCTGCTCCGTCTCCGGGAAACTGGGGGGGGGACGCCGGGGAACTCCTCTTCTTCCGGCCGAGATGCACATGGACCGAGGAGCAGTGTCCGATTCCGTGGATATATATGATAGATGGTTCAGTATTTCGTAGTTTGCCCTTCTACCTCATTTCCCTTGATTTGAGCTAAATCCAGGAATCTGATATATACGCAAAAATGCCTGCTTTCTCGGTAAGTCGACTGACTGTACCTCTACTACTGCTACTACGTAGAGTATAATCTGTTCAACTATCTCCGCGAGAGACTTTAACATATGTCTGATGCCACCAATAGAATGCACCAAGATGCTGACCATCAATGTTTCTGTACAGCGCCTGATTCGCTTCCTGGCCAAAGACGGCCAAGTCTACTACGGCGATGCCATCCTCCCTCCCGGCGTGACTGACATTTCCAAAGCGACTCAAGCAAAGGTGATCAAGGGTGACATCTTCGGACAACACCAAGTCACAGACCAAACAGCTGAGGTGAAATTACTCCTGGCCCCTCTGGCAAGAGGAGATATCGGCACAGTGCGCGGCCTAGGGTTGAACTATGAGCAGCATGCGAAGGAGTCCAACTTGCCCATCCCCAAGTACCCCGTGCTATTCTACAAACCTGTCCCCTCGATCGGGGGTCCTACTGATGACATTCCCGTGCCTTATTTGGTGCAAAATGATGAGGGACTTGACTACGAGTGTGAGCTTGTTATTGTTGTTGGCAAGCTGGCCAAGGACGTGCCTGAGAATCGAGCTTTAGACTATGTGCTTGGGTATGCAGTGGGTAATGATGTCTCGCACCGAGAGTGGCAGATCAAGCGTGGAGGAGGGCAATGGGCCCTGGGTAAAAGCTTCGATGGCTGGGCACCCTTTGGTCCTGGTATCGTGACCACGGATGTGATCCGTGATCCCAATGCATTGATGATCTTGACCAAACTGAATGGTCAAACCGTTCAGTCGTCATCGACTAAGGACATGATTTTCCATGTGGCTCAAACCGTGTCGTTCCTGTCCAAGGGGACAACTTTGTTGCCCGGAGATCTGATTTTCACCGGAACGTAAGTGTCTATCGCAGTCATTGTTGGCGAATTGCTGCTCATTCATATGCTTGACAGTCCCCAAGGCGTGGGCATGGGTCGTAAGCCCCAACTTTGGTTAAAGGACGGAGATCAGGTTGAGGTCTCGCTTGACAGTGTAGGATCGTGCGTCAACAAGGTCGTCTACGAGAAGCCATTGCCTAAACTTTAGACACAGAAAGTAAACTCGGGCAGCTCCAATGTATATTTTAGTTACCCAATATAGTACTATTCTTGGTAATATCACGCAAAGCATAAGGCAACCATACTGATTTGGGGTTCGTAACATCTTTTCCTATTAATTGGATTCTTGCAAATGTCTGGGAAAAAGAAAGGGGGGAGGGGGGGGAGGCGGGGGGAAGACCTAAACAGTTTGAGCGCCATATCCCTTGATCGACTCAGCAAATGCCCAGCTCTGGGCTTCAAGCTTCTCATCTTGCTTCACCTCAATGCCATCTTTTGAGATCACTGCTATCGAGTAACTGTCGAGACTGCGCGCATCCCGATACCACAGAACTTTGATACACTCCTTCAGTGCTGCCACTGCCTGCTCCTTGCTGATTTCTTCGATGGGTTTCTCCTCCGGGAACAGTCGACGGAGAATTGGGACGGCAAGGTGAGCACCGAAGCCGGTCGCCAGATGAGGGGCTGAATAAGTGGTACCAAGCAGGTCTGCTGAGCTGAGGAAAGGCTGTCCATTCCCATCGAAGCCTGCAACCAGGACGTGATTCCAAAGCGGGTTGAATTCAGAACGGCGCTTATAGAAAACCTTCGACAGGTAGGTGTGGAGGTTCTTTGCGTTGAGCAGGTTGCCATGAGCCGAGTAATTTTCTTTGATATCGATGGATCCTAGGAGACGGTCGATATATTGCATATCAGACACGTCACCACCAAATCCGACCACAGCGGAATCTCCAAAGGTTCGAAGTCGTTTAACATCGGTGAACCGAGCGAGAGACCCGTAAGATGCTGTGCGAGAGAGCCAATCATCAGAAATGCCCAGTATTTGTGAATTGAAGATTCCAACGTACCCAGGTTGTCGGCCGCAATCGCAACGCCTCCGTTGAACTTGACCGCGATCACTGACGTCCCGGTCACAGCGGGAGACTGAGTGTGGGCTTTCGGGCCAGTGGTCTGTAGGAATGAGGGGTTGTAAACTCCATATATGTCATTTCTGGGCTTCAAGTACACTCATATCAGCGATATAGACCTTTATGCGATGGTTTAGCTGCTCTTACTCGACCCCAGGATTCCGGAAAGTGGTTCATGCTGCACAACGCGGTCTCTAACAGGGTTTAAAGGAATAAAGCAAAATAGTAGGAAAAAGGGGAAAGAAGAGAAGAAGATCCTTGATGGTCGATCAAAAAGGTTGAAAAGGCGATACACTGTTCAAGTTCAAGCTAGGTGACGGAGCTCTCTTGGTTACGTTAGCTGTGGTACTGCTGGGCGTTGGCGGCGGAACTCCGCGCGCCTATCGGAGCTCAAGCACGTGATATGTTCGCTCTTTTTGTCTTTTTTCCAAGACATACGAACTATCAGGATACCCCTTATATCGACAGAGTATAGGATTCTACAATAATTGTCACTGGACTGGTACATATGTGCAAACCATGGTGCATCATTCTGCCCGGATCATTGCAGCCACTGTATTCTACCAACCCTCTATTTTGCTTCTTCCTAGTGTATATTTCCTTTGATAATATCACATTGTTTTCAGATTAGGTGCTAGATTTTAGATGTTCGCCAAAGCTATTGGAACATCTTCACTTTGCTATCACTTAGGTTTATCCTCGGGTTGGCATCAGCCACAGGTAGATGTTGCAACTCATGCTCTCGGTTCCGACAGGTTGTAGTTCAATAACATAGATAAAAGACCTAGCTCCGGCAGCCAAACCCTACTTGGTCTGGCTTTGCAATGGCTTGGATCAAGACTTCGCACCTCTACCGGCAGCATTCGCTTTAGTTTTTGAACTTGACAAATTCGACCGGCCACTGCCTTCAGACGTCCCTGACACAAATTCAATAGAATCTCTTTGGCCACTAAACCGTTTCTCTTCCGTTTTGTAATAGATCTCTTTCTGTGTCTTTAAGAGTTCCTCCTTGTAACCCCAATTCGGTAAATTGGACAAATCCCAAAGGTCGGGAGGTAGTGAAGTAGAGTATTGCGTTTCATCATTGATTCCCGCATGATTCATCATCTTCGTGAGCAAGTTCGGATTCTTGAGTGAAGAGGAGCCGGCAAGTTTCTCATTAAAATGTGTACCCTGTTTTTTTAATGATAAGAAGTGCGCGAACTTGGCATTTGCCTTGGGATTAGGGGAGCCTGGCGGAGATGACGGTATATCTAGATTTGGGACAGGAGGGAGTGTTAAATCGTGTGTTAATGCGAGAGATGTTGAAAAGGGAGAAGATGGGCCGTCGAGGAAACCCCCGCTTGCTACATGTGGTCCCTGAGGATGCGAAGGCCCAAGAACCGGTCCGACTGGCTTCGCATTCGTGTTTATTTTTGGGATAAGACTTCTCTTTTCCAATGTTTTGGGTGCTTTAAAAATTAGTATTGTAATTGGTAACCTCTAAGCTATGTATCGGGGACATACCATTAACATCTGCGACTTGTGGCTCTTGAACAGGTTGTTCCTTAGTCCTATGCTAGAAATTGCGTTAACGAGCGAGCAGGTCTTCGAGTTCTGTTAATCTATACCTTAGGCGCCGTTAAAGGGGTCTCGTTTTCTCCTTCGTCTTCGCTACTGCTTTGATATGCACCAAGCCCAAGCATAGCGTCTCCAAATTAAGGCCCGAATAATGGCGGTTCTGGGTATAGAGCGTCTAGACACTTCTCGGTATAAGTGGTAGATTCAATGTTTCAAAACTGATGGAGCAAATGTACCAAGAAGACCAAATATTGGTCGCATTGGTGACAGTTCTAGGTAGATATTGGCGGAAGCTGTAGGATTAGGTAAGCAAAAGACAGCTGCTCCAGCATCGCGTCAGAAGTGAGAGCAATCCATCAGTCCCAAAGCCACCTGGTCCTCCCCGCAAACAAAAGGACACGCGAAAGCAGAACGCTGTATTGACTTCACCAAAAGAATCTGCTCCTCTCTTCTGTCGAATAATCTCTTGACATCTCTCCAAATCCGATTATCGCACCGGAAATGACGTCGCTTCTGGGTTACCAACCTCAGAATGAGGGTGTCGGATATTCCTTCTCTCAGCCAACTAGTGTTCCCAACAAAGAACACTCCTTCTACCCGTATGTGACAAATAGTTAACTCTTTTCATGAAATGGAAAACTAACTTGCCGACCCTAGGTATACCGACAACGGTGGCTCAACTTTGGGCATCTCAGGTTCCGATTTTGCGATCCTTGCCGGCGATACTCGTTCCGTTGCAGGATACAATATCAATTCTCGCTACGTTCCGAAAGTATTCAAGATTGGCGGGGATGATGAGACTGGAGAGGGTGCCCACATCCTCCTAGCGGTTGTCGGTTTTGCTGCCGATGGTCAAGCTCTCAAAGAACGACTTGATGCCGTGGTGAAGATGTACAGATACCAGCATGGAAAGCCTATGTCTGTGTCAGCATGTGCACAGCGGCTCTCGACTATCCTTTATCAGAAACGATTCTTCCCCTATTACGTGCAGGCCATCCTAGCAGGATTGGACGACGAGGGCAAGGGAGCATTGTACAGTTACGATCCCGTTGGCTCGTATGAAAGAGAACAGTGCAGAGCGGCTGGATCTGCTGCAAGCCTGATTATGCCGTTCCTGGACAACCAAGTGAATTGCAAGAACCAGTACATTCCTGGAAGCGGAGAAGGGCATGCTTTGGAGGCGAAGAAGCCGGAGCCTCTCCCAAGGGACACAGTCGAACAGCTCGTGCGGGATGCGTTCACTAGTGCTGTGGAAAGACACATTGAGGTCGGTGACGGACTTCAGATGTTGCTTGTTACAAAAAGCGGGATAGAGGAGATTTACCACCCTCTGAAGAAGGATTAAGGAAACCATTACCGGTGGTCATCAATGTTTTATTAATTGGATGTGATCAATCTTCAGTAGAATCACGAATATGTCAATGAAGGTATATCTTTTACACCATATCATAACATCAGTAGCATATCTTATTCAATCCCTTATGTCGTGTGAGCCCTTAACGCCAATTTCATCATGCTGCAACCAAGAAAAGAAGAAAAGAAAACTACATTTTGATCTCATCAGAAACGTTCCTTCATGCGTGATGCCACAGTACGCAGGTTACCGTAAACCTTGCCCTGTTGATCATAGACATTAGTAACAGCTCGGAACGATAACAATTCACCTGTCATTTGCGCGATCACTTACCGGAGGACTACCCAAAATCAAGCTAACAATAGCCTCCCGAGCGATGTGGATGTTCTTGAATCCGCCAAGGATATGGATCTTTTGGTCTGCGAGAACCACACGTGTCCGACTCGCATTCTCGATTGCGAATTTAGTCTTTCCGTCTTTTCCTGCGATCCGACCAATTGCACGGCCAATATGTTCGCCATTCAATGAACCCTTGACGTCCTTCAATTCAAAGGATTGGATGTACAGATCGTCCAACCTCAACAACGCGATGGCATCGTCGACATCAAACCCAAGGGTGAAAGCTTTAATGAAGTCTTCGCCTTTCTGTAAGGCTCCCGTGTCCGTAGTAAACTTCGAGGTACGCAATTCAACTGCCTTGTTCTTGATGTTCATGCGCACTTGCAACTTCAGATGTTCAACGAGTGGAGGATATATCTTTGGCCAATTTGCTTTCAGAGGCGTCATACGATGCGGTGGTACTGGCACTTTTCGAGTTTCGACGCGATATACGCTGTTGGTGTTCGTCTCTGGCGTAAAAACGGGGCGACCCTCTTCATCAATGCGCATTTCCGAGTCCTGGACCGGTACCGTAGGAGGGTTATTCGAGAGATCATTCTCGGCACAATCTTGTGCATCAATCAAAATTTCATCATCTTGGTCTGAAAACCGTTAGTTGAAACTCGGATGTATGAGGCACTGGTCGCAACGAACTTGGGACACGAGGGGCTGCTGTTGAGGCTTCCATAGACGCCATTTCCTCAGGGCGCCTGAGGAGTGCTGTTGGGGCCGGCATTTCCTTTCCACTATAGAAAATAACAATGTATACCAGTATCGTTTTGAGAAAAAAAAAAAAAAATGTGCGGCGCCTACAGGGGTAATAACTAAATCTGTTATCGCGGATTTTATCAGGCGGAGTGAAAAAAAAAAATAAGTGTGTCAATACGGCTGCAAACAAGACAAACATTTCCCGGTGGTGCGGGATGATTTCATGGAAATTTGTTCTAGCATCGGGCAAATTATATACACTTTGCCATTAACGTCGCCAGTTACGTTTGTGCCTGCTTTCAATTTCAACAACTCCTTTTTCTCAGATCCTCGAAGCTGCTCAACTGCTATGGCTTCTGTCGGGTGTCTCTAACGAGCTCTACTTTTTCATTTTCTCGTTTTATAGATTCATGATGTGACGGCGATCATGGCAGGCAATTTTGGACGCAAGTTATACACTAACTTCTGGGAGGCAGCAAATCCATTATTCGGTCGCCCTTTACGGGCAGGTCGCTTACGTTTTATATCTGACACACCGAACTCGGCCCAATTCTCTTGCGAATTCCTCTTCAGACGACAGGCCAGAAACACATCATCGTTGCCTCCTCGAAGAACAACGCAAATCACAAGAAGATTTGCTTCTGGGGGCTTCTTTGCCCTTGGAATTTCACCTAGCTCGCCAGCAGTGGAAACCGGAGCGACATGTGTAATTGGTCCCGACAAATTATTACCACATAGAAGCTATCATTTCGATAGAAGACTTCTTTGCAACCTTACAGGAAATGTCTGGAAGCGAGGACTTCATACAAACAAGGATGACCGGCTAAAAGGAGAGTCTCCTAGGGACCCCTCTTTCAAGTCAGGCAATAACAAGTCTGGCTCAACAAACCTAGATCGGACTGGAGATGAGATTCAAAAGAATCGCCAGGCGGAGAAATCCACCTATGGGCACCAACTGGGATCATTTAACCGTCATTTTATCGACCGCTTACCACATATACCGCACATTCCGCATCTGCAACGGCCCACAAAAGAAGAACTTTTAGCGGCAGCAACTGGCTTTTGGTCCAGGCTCAAGGTACGATTCAAGTGGTTTTCGATCCGAAGTGTTCGACCTTTCAATCTGGATGAAATCGCGGCCCTTTTTTCGTGGGTCTTCTTAGGCCATGTGGTTTGGGTAGTCTTGGGAACAACAACTTTCTTTTCGTTACTTATCATTGCGATAAACACTGTTTTTGCTCAAGGTGCGTTTCAGAATATCTTATTCATCAAATATCGGGAAGCTAAAACCGTACAGAGACCTTGGCTAGATGGATAGGTAATTACCTTACGAAATCGTCCGGTGTGAAAGTCGTCTTCGAATCTGCTATTGTGCCCAGATGGAAGGATGGTGTTATCACTTTCAAGAATGTATTTGTCTCGCGACGACCTGGACTGGGGACTGGAGATGTCAGCAAAGGCTCGTCGAAGACAGCCGCGGCAGTGGCTGCAGCTGCCGCTCTCAGCGAACAACCGACCGCCGACGCATCTGACCAGCGAACGATTCCCGACGAGGAGGATACGAACTATACCCAGTTTGACATATCCATCGAATCAGTAAATGTGACATTGTCGTTCACGAAATGGATAAACGGAAAGGGCCTTTTGCGTGATGTTGATGTTAAGGGCATTCGAGGAGTCGTTGACCGTAGACATGTCCATTGGTCAGATGTCAACTTAGATCCCAAGTCCTACCGGCACGAGCATCACCCTGGAGATTTCGAAATCGACCGGTTCAAAATGGATGATGTACTGGTCACAATTTACCAACCCGATAATTTCCGGCCATTTTCTGTCAGCATATTCTCCTGCGATCTTCCTCAGTTAAGGAAGCAATGGTTATTCTATGATTTTCTATCGGCGAATATGATGTCAGGGTCATTCGATAACTCTCTGTTCACTATCCATCCGCGACAAACACACGGCTTCACTGGCGCACAGTTGGGCAACGGCCTAGAGGAAGACGGCAAACCGAGTCCGTGGAAGAAACACAGCCGGATCCGTATCGATGGGTTGAATATAGACCATCTGAACCGTGGAGTGCAGGGGCCATTCTCATGGATACATGAGGGAACTGTTGACATTGTCGCGGACATTATGTTCCCGGCGGAGAATGACGAGAGTTTAGCCAAGGTGATGACTGATCTCTATGATCGGTTGGAGGCAACAGTTACCTCCAACCGGTACGACCCTGCGTCGCCAGATGCAGATGTGTCCAAGGAAGACACTGCGAATGAAGATCGACGGTTCCTAGTCACCGACCTTCGAATTCATCTCAACAATGCTAGAGCTGTGGTCCCTATCTTCACACGGGATCTTTCCTATATTAACAACGCGCTTATACGGCCCATTGTCGCGTACATCAATTCCCGGCGGACTTTTATCCCCGTCAATTGCCGCCTTGTCAAACGCGTTGGGGACTTTGATGGCAGTTGGACCACTTTTGATAGTGGTCTGATGGACGATCTCTCTGCCGCGGTAAGCCTATATTCCCCCCACTTTCACTACTTTGTCTTGCTGACAGGTCAACCAGGCGTATGATGGCTTCGCACGAGATGTGGTAGACGACCAAGCGCGCAAACGACGTTTCAAAAAAGTTGGATTTTGGTCGCTCCAACTTGCTGCCCAGGCCATTTTTATGGGAATGGCTGGGAATATTGCATGATTATTTCTGCCATATAATGACTGACGGCGTTACACTGGGTTTGAATGGGTCTTACTGCGATTTCACGAGGGCGAAAAGCAAAACAAAAAGGGCGTTTTCTGATTTTCTGCAGTTGTTCTCTTCTCTTCCAACTTTCTTTTCAGCCACTGTCTAATGGGATAGATGTGTGCTGTGTACTCATAGAATTCTATTATTATCGAGATGGTCTAGGTCATACTCCGAAGCGATGCAGACAATACAATATTCTCCGTACTGGGTGTTGGTCTATGCGCTGCTCCGTGAGCTGTCAGTAAAACTGTCAATGCTCCGTGCCCTGCAGTCATGTACGAACTTCTATGGTCCTTAAAATCCAGGAAAAGGGGAGTAGAATTAACCAAAATTCAGGTCTTAACGAAAAGGGAGAGGTGCAGCGTGTAGGAAAGTAGAGTTAGAATTTAGTTACCCCTATTCCTATAGTTATCCTCCCCCCTTTCCCTCTTTTCTTTGGTGGGATCTTCGCATTTACTCCGTCATCATTATTCTAATCAAACGAGACCAAAAAAAATTCCTGAATAATGTACTTCTGCTCTTAGTTAGTCGGTGGTTCTTCCCCAATCTCCAAAAAAGAAAAAGAAAAGAGAGGGAAATTCCCCGAAATTTCCGTCTTTTTCTTTCCTGTCTGTCTCTTTACTTTCACAGTCGCTTTCTCTCTTTCCCGCTCTCTTTATTTGTCTTCTGGAGGTTATACAAGTGGTGTTTTATCCGGTCGGTTCAGTTCAAAAGAATTCCTTGTATACAGTAAGTGCTCCGTTAACCAATGGGTCCGAGATTGGTGAGGACCCCACTCTCTTTCTTTACCCCCTGCTCTCTTATCCTTTCATTTCCTTGTCCCACTGACCGTGCATAATCCAGAAAGAGACCGGTTGTCGTTGTCGTTGTTGTCGTTGTCGTTGCTGTTGTCGTACATAACTCTTTCCTGAACAGTCCTGGGGGGCGCTTGCGTCTCCTCTGCTGATCCGGACGAGCCCAATGTCGCAGGTTCGGCGGCACGGACAAGGGACCGACCACCATCACAACCATCACTACCAATATCAACCATACAGTCTCCCGATCCAGCCTCCTCCGACTTCTCCTCTCCCTCCCCCTCCCCTTTCTCCTCCTACCTCTGCTAGGAATCTTCATTCGACCTCTCCACATTCTCCTTCGTCTCCGTCTTCATCTTCTTCTTCATTCCCTCTTAATGGGAGTTTGATTCCTCGCGATTACTTAGGGCCTCGATCTGACTACCAGCAAACTTCTCGTGCCGCCGCCGCTGTGACTGTTCCCCCCAGAACGACTCCATCCCCATCTCCCTTGCAGACAGGCGCCCATTCTCAGTTACCCTGTCTAGGCGAGTTAGGCGCATCACAAAGCCCGTTGTCACCACGGACATCTGCGGCTACTTCGACATTCCAAAGCCGCTCTCCGGTCGGCCATTTATCTCATGCCGCGTTCCCGACGCCTCCATCAAGCGCCGGCCACAGCTTTTACAGCAGCCAGATTGAAACGACAGACAAGAAATTGTTGAATGGACATCACCAACATGATAGAGGTATGACCGAGGAAAAAGTGAACCAGACGACTCCGCGCAAACCCTCAGACACTACGGACTCGAATCAATCAACAACCTCCTCCCCCATATCTGGTATTAGTTCGTTGCACTCCATGGCTGGTGATCGCTCGGGACAGCGGTTTATGCCCCGCACGTCGTCAATCGATTCTGCGATCTCCTCGCTTTCCTCGGCGTCCCAGTCTCATAGATCCACCTTCGACGCCAATTCAGTGAGCCAGGCGGACATTGGGAACCTAATTTCTACTGCCGGATCGGCCGAAGCTGTCATCATACACCTCCTCAAAGAGAAACATCACGCTGCCTCACAAAACTCGCAGCTTTGGAGATTGGTCGATAAGCAACGGACCCTCATTCTTGGTCTGAACAAAGATCTTGAGCGAGCATTGAAGGAGAAGGAAAAGTACAAGACAAAAGCGAAAGAATTGCAAACGCCATTGCCGGTGAACAGCAAAAATTACACAATACAACCCCGAGGTACTGAAGGGGATGCTGTGGTTTCCCAAGATCAGGACCGTCAAACGCAAAATCAATCGGGACCCTCGAGAAACACAGGGGATTACAACCAAGAGAACTTGAATAGCCAAAATGATGTGTCTACAACAAATGATTCGCCTGTCGAGTCTCACGGCAAAGGGGACCAAGGTCGTGAATCCCAAAAATCGCAAGCACCCTTGTACTCACGGGACGAACACTCAGCGACTAGCCCGAATTCGTTTGCGAGCTCCAACGATTCGTCGCTCAGTGAAAAGCCAATACAAGAGAAAATCCCGCACCCAATGCGAAAACCTCCACCCGCACCGCTAAAACTTGGGAAAATGGGGGGCACAATCATAGAGCACCCCGAATCTGACTCTGAATCCGAATATGAAGATATTGATGCGGTGGATGAGATGGACCGCGGGAGAAGGAAAACGAGGGACGATGATGACAGAGAACGAGAAGCGGCGCATGCGAAAGAAGATGCGCAATATTCCAAGCCGGCGCACCCTTCAGGCGCCCAGCCCATGCCAGTCGGCCTTCCGTCAAGCCCACGGCCCATAGCTACACAATCACCACCCCCAATTGAACGCTCTGGATCACTGGCCTCCATTCTAAGCCCTCGCACGGCACATACAGGATCTTTAAAAGAACGCTCGTTTTTGTCATCGGCGCCAAAGAGTCCAGGTTTGCCTGTCAGCCCAAGACCAGAGGACCGTCCCATCGGCGCTCCGTTGCCACGAATGCCCCGAGAACTGCCAAACGGTTTGACGCCTGTGTCAATACCGCCGACCAATAGCAACCTTTCAGGGTTGGCTCTCTCACCTCGAACAACCAGAAATCCAAATACATTTACTGCACCAGGGAATTCCTTGCCTTCTGGCAACCCAGCGAACATCGATCCGCCTATACCTTTGATTGATGCGACGGTTAAGATAGATAGTCCCCGATCACCGGACCCAAGCGCCAATGGTATCTATCAAGGATTGGTTTCTGATGAGTACCCTGACCTTCTTTTATCGCCAAATGCTTTGCCTTTGATTGAGGTGAAGGTTGCATCTTCCAGGCTCCGGCCTTCTAGGAATAGCTACATGGCACCGAGGCCATCTGAAGAAGAGCCAGTTTTTACCTTGAGTATATTCTCGCGCTCAGACAGCATGGAGCTTTGGCGCGTTGAGAAGGTTATTGCAGCACTGCCCCAGCTGGATCAGCAAGTCCGGCAACTGTGTTTTTTCGCAGGAAAACTGCCCGACCGGAGCATATTTACCGGACACTCACCCGCCAAGATCGATGCGCGACGGGCAGCTCTAACTTCCTACTTTGCTACTCTCCTTGATACTCCGATGGACGAAAAGGCGGCTTTGGTCATTTGCCGATTTCTCACTTCTGATGCTATCGAGGCCCGGGACGATGAGACGAGCTTACTGAAAAGTAGCAATCAGATGAAAGCCGAGATCCTACGTGGTCCAGATGGGAAACCCAGGAAAGAAGGATACTTAACAAAAAGAGGAAAGAATTTCGGCGGGTGGAAGGCAAGATACTTCGTCCTGCATGGCCCCGAACTCAGATACTTCGAAGCTCCTGGCGGTGCGCATTTAGGCACTATCAAAATTCCCAATGCGCAGATAGGCAAACAATCGCAAAACACCAGCGCTCAAAGCGCCTCTCTTCCTGATGATGACTCCGACAATCAATACCGCCATGCCTTCCTTATTCTGGAGCCAAAGAAGAAAGACTCCTCAGCCCTTGTACGACACGTTTTGTGCGCTGAAAGCGACGAAGACAGGGATGCCTGGGTCGAGGCATTACTGGAATATGTTGAAGGACCTGCAGCAGAATATGAGAGCGCAAATGCTACGAACACGAGGAGTCAGCCTCAAACGCCAACACCCGATGCAGGTCCAAAGTCGGCAAAGATGTTCCCCAATGAGGATAAGAAGAACAGCAAAGGATCTGACGGTCCGGATTCGGATGGCCCCGACATAGTGCAAGGGTTCAGTTTTGATGATGCTGTTCCTGCCGAACCGCCAGTCCTCGGGTCGAATTTTGAAAAACCCACACCCAAATCCCCGCTGTTCCCGTCTAGTACATGGGGCCCCTCAGCGGATGCAAACCAAACAACCAACACTACATTGGAGAATGGGCAGCTTTCATCGAAAATAATATCAGGACCGACAAACGGCGCTGTGATCCAAAATGCAGGCGCTTGGGGCAATAGAGCTGCCAACGCCACTGCCATCAAGGAGAAGAAGCGCAGTATATGGGGTTTTGGAAAGACGAGATCGTCGATGGACATTGCCTCGCAACTTCAGCAAGCCGATCGCGAGTCTCCTACATCACAGGCTCAGGGCAATGCTTTTGTTGACAGGAAAGATTTCGTCAGGCCCGTTTTTGGTATCCCGTTAGCAGAAGCAGTGCAGTACTGTGCGCCGCAAGGGGTCGATGTAGAGTTGCCTGCTGTGGTCTATCGCTGTATTGAATACCTGCAAGCCAAAGGAGCATCATCCGAAGAGGGTATCTTCCGACTAAGCGGTTCCAATGTTGTCATTAAAGCATTGAAGGAGCGGTTCAATACAGAAGGCGATATAGACTTCCTTGCTGGTGATGAGTACTACGATGTTCATGCTGTGGCCTCCCTCTTCAAGCAATATCTTCGAGAACTACCAACGACGGTATTAACCCGCGAGCTTCATCTGGAGTTCTTGCGTGTGCTTGGTGAGCAACTCATTCTGATTTCATTTCTAGGTATTGTGCTAACGGTATTTTTCTTTTTTGCAGAACTTGATGAGCGAGAAAAGAAGATCGCAGCATTTAATTTCCTTGTACATAGACTCCCAAAAGCGAACTTGACTCTCTTACGGGCATTGTCTCAATTCTTGATCGAAATCGTCAACAATTCCGCCGTCAATAAAATGACTGTTCGGAATGTGGGCATTGTGTTCGCTCCGACATTGAACATTCCGGCGCCAGTTTTCTCAATGTTCCTCACCGATTATGATAGCATATTTGACCAGAGCCCCGAGCTTGGTGGGTCCGCTATGGAGTCCGCCGTTGATGATCCAAAAGCATCTGATGTCCTCCGCTCGCCACGCCGTCAAGTGTTCTCGGATATACCTACACCTTCTTACAATCAGACGACATTCCGGCATGACCAACTTGAAGATCCCAGGGGAGCCTACGATACTGGCTTGACATATGCACAGCCAAGCCATGTATCCGAGAACTACAATTACATGCCAGCCTCGATGAACCAGATGTTGAATCCTAACCTGGAAAATGCTCGCTCTGCCAAGGCAAATAGACGGGAGAGCTCTATGCTCTTCATGGAATTAGGCAACCAGAACCCCTCGATTCCAACCTCACGCGCTGACTAACCTGGATGTGTACTTCAGGGTACACTAACGAATTTCTTTTGTCCAGCTAGACCCCTGAAAGACTCTAGTAGCCGAAGGATCGATCCTATATCCTTCCACTCGGGGCGTTTGCCGAGGGTATGTGCATTTGCTTTGGGCTTCGACACTCAGATACAACCCTCTGAATCTCTATACTCCATAGAGGGCCATGGCCCTCCTTCGAGGACAATCACGAATTGTATGAACACATGGAACGACAAATATATACCCGCATCCTGCATTGCGAGGAAATGTTAATATTAATGTTAATTGGAGGCAAGGGTCATTCTTGAAGTTGACGCGCACAGTTTTATGGGGGTCATGTCTTTTCTTCTTTCCACCAGTTATGACGATTCGATTTTTGCACAAATATACTCTATTTGTTCTGTCCTTTTTCAGTATTTATTATATACCATAGCAAATATCCTTTATCACTTCTTCTTTGTCTTACAGAATGCGGACATGCAGTATTATGCTCTTCGTGGATGCTTTTCGATTAGCCTGGCTACAAAAGCAAATAACTTAGAATCTTCGCGTCCGATCGCCCCTCCAAAACCCCATCACTTCTCCATTTTCCATTACCCAATCTCTGGCACCATCAACCAAAGCCTTTGCCATCCCCTTATTCTTGACCTTCCCATCGACCGACAAGGCATTTCGAGCCAAGCCCGCAGTAGATACATGTTCACCCGTCGCATATTCAGAGCCCATGCTAGGCAGGACATTCTCCCCCGCACTCAAGCTGACGAAGAGGGCAAAAGGGACCAGCCAGACGCAGATCCCGAAATAAGATGCCACCTCTGTAAATGTTGGCATATCCTCGACATTGGTTTGATACGGTTGGCGCCAGTTACCCGCAGATCGAGACGCAGGTAGTGGTTTTGAGAAATGGCGGAACCATAGCCAGTGGTTCAGGCCGACTAGAACGCAAGATGAGACGAAGAGAGGGTCCGAAAGTTTGACAATGGGGAATCGTCGGAGATTGCTTGCGTATACAAGGTGCGAAACAATACTGAGGGCCGATAGGAAGAATGGGAATCGGTCAAAGAGGAACAGGAGGATCTGGATGACAACGATGCTGTATATTAACCGAGTCAGAAGTCGTCGGGCGAGGACGGTATGTTCTTCGACAAGTTCGGACAGGTAATAAAGGCCAGAGGCTAGAAGGTGTTAGGTCTTATCTGATGCCATGACTTGCTCAGGTCTCTCTTACCTATGGCCAACGTTAGAAACGCAAACCCCACAATCACCCCCAGATACCCTAATAGAGGTAGAATCCACATTGTGAATGAATGGTGTCGCTGTTCGTGGTTTGCAAATCTTGAAGCGTCTACCAGCTTATAAAGGTGCGCAGGAGAAAGATGCCACCTTTGGAATGAAGTGATGCGTGGAAAGACGATCAATCAAACCACATTGCCAAGCACAGAGGGAAAGGACCGAGAATATCGATAAAACGGTGTGGGAGAAATCGAACAACCGTTACAAATGATACTTTAAGCAAAAAGCAAGTTATAGCGCAAAATGATAAAGTGATTTGATCTCACTGAAGAGTTGAATTCATGTGTCTCTCTGCCTCAGGCCACTACCCCACGCCAAGGCCATCCGGATCCAAAGCCAGCAAAAAAAAAAAAATCTACGATGATCTAGAGCATAACAAATCAACAATTACACGACTTCGATTTTACCTATTCTTCTCCCATACATATTATTGTGAATTGCCATTGATTATATCACTCAGTCGTTCTTTACAATATTTGACTTGCATTATTGCCCTCTCCTAATTCGTCTGCGCATATACATACGTCCATCGCAACCATGTCGCGCCCTGAAGATGTCTTGTAAGTTGACAATGATATACGAAACTTATCTCTTCCAATTTTTTTTTTTGGACATCCACGCTGACCCTTGGTTGTAATGAAGGCCTCCAGATCTCTTTTACAACGACAATGAGTCACGCAAATACACTACTTCCTCCCGTATCCGTAACATTCAATCCGACATGACCCATCGAGCCCTTGAGCTTCTCGATCTCAAATCTCCTTCTCTCATTCTCGACCTTGGGTGCGGCTCGGGTCTCTCCGGTGAAATCCTTTCCAGTCTCCCCGGCGAAGAAGGCGGGCCACACACCTGGATTGGTATGGACATTTCGCCCAGCATGCTGGACGTAGCTCTTCAACGAGACGTGGAAGGCGATTTGCTACTTGCAGACATCGGTCAGGGAGTACCGTTTCGACCTGGTTCCTTCGATGCGGCCATCAGTATTAGTGCAATCCAGTGGCTTTGCAATGCGGAAACCAGTGATGTGAGCTCTGAAGGCCGTCTTCGTCGCTTCTTTGAAGGTCTCTATGCCTGTCTTCGTCGAGGTGGACGTGCTGTCTGCCAATTCTATCCGAAAAATGACGCTCAACGGAGCATGATCAGTGCCGCTGCCATGCATGCTGGCTTCGGTGCGGGTATCCTGGAAGACGACCCGGGAACCAAAAACAGTAAATTGTATCTTGTGCTGACAGTTGGCGGTGGTGGCTTGAAGGGAGACATTACTGGCGTTGTCCAGGGCATGGATGAGGTTGATGTCCTAGATGCCAGAAAGAGGGCCATACAAAATAAAACATCATCATCGAAAAAAGGCGACAAAGCTTGGATCATGCGCAAGAAGGACCAGATGGAACGAAAAGGCAAGGTTGTGAAAGCGACCTCGAAGTACACCGGCAGAAAGAGACGACCGGCATTCTGAGCGTCGATCTATGTAAAATTCTTCTGATCGATGCAATGAGGTAAAGTGGTTCGTCCGAGAGTTCAATGAACAATGACCACTTTCGCCCCGGCAAAGCTCTTCAAGTGCGTTTCAAATAACCGCCGAAGGTCAACGATTCCCACGAACGATTGCTTAGTTGATTAGGCTCTCTTACTCTATGCCATGCAAGACATTCGACTTCGTCCTGTGATATCATCTCCAGATGGAGGGCATACCGTCGATTTCTTAGTAGTCGTGTTTGGACGGAGGCCTTAGGGAAGGGGGCTTCTAGAATTGGAGGACAAGCATAGGAGCCGATTTTTCAATATACCCGATATGAAATAGAAATACATAGTCACTTTAATGATAAGATGAAATGATACATAGACACGTTCTTTTGGTTCGCAAAACAAGAATGTATATATAGGTGGATATAATCTTACATATCCTATTCCATCGTTTTGATAGTCGGCAGGACGTTCTAGTTGATGTTAGGGTGAAGGATAATACATAGAAAGATGGAGTACCCCCAAGTAATCAATGAAGAGAGTTTTTCTTTCAAAGTCCCTCCATGGCTGACCTATAAGCCCTCATCATCATTGTAGTAGCGGCAAGAAAACTAAAGTGGTATCCCAAAGTTTACAGAGTCTCCATCTTGTCCAAGACAGCTCTGGTGAATTCGTGAGTGGTGGCCTGACCACCCATGTCGTGAGTCCTTGTTTTGCTATAAAACACAAGTATTAGCAAACGAATCTATTAGGAGAAGGGGGGAGGCATTGATGAATTTAGACATGGAATTATCTTTCACATACCCTTCACCGATCACGTCGTACACAGCCTTGGAGATACGGTTGGCGTGGTCGTCCAAACCGAGATGGCGGAGAAGCATGGAACCAGACAGGATCATAGCACTGGGGTTAGCCTGGTCCTTGCCCTTGATGTCCAGACCAACGTGACGGCATCCAGGCTCGAAGACAGCGACGTCGCGTCCCATGTTGGCGCCAGGAACAAGACCTGGACCACCGACAAGGGCAGCGCCGACATTGGAGAGAATGCCACCATAAAGGTTAGGCATGACCATGACGTCAAACTGCTGAGGCCGAGAGACAGCTTGCATGGAAGCGTTGTCGACGATCATGTCGTTGACCTCCAGGGTAGGGTAGTTCTCCGCGGTCTTGTGGAAGGTGCTACGGAACAGACCGTCGGCAAGCTTCATGATGTTGGCCTTGTGAATGCAAGTGACCTTCTTCCGGTTGTTGGCAAGGGCAAAGCCAAAAGCGAACTTGGCGATACGCTCGGACTTGGCGCGGGTGATGATCTTAAGCGACTCAACAACACCCTGGACAGACTGATGCTCGAGGCCGGAGTATTCACCCTCTGTGTTCTCACGGATGATGCAGAGATCAACATCCTTGTGGCGAGTCTCGTAGCCGGGGATATTCTTGATCAAGACAATCGAGGCATAGATATCGAGCTCTTGGCGCAGAGCGACGTTGAACGACTGGTGACCCGAACGCTCGACGGGGGTGAAAAGGATACCCTTCAAACCCAGCTTGTTGCGGCGAAGCGATGCAATGGATTCTTTAAACAGCTCCTCCGAGTGCTTGTTGCCCGTGTCCACACCACTGACGTCGACCTGTTCCCACTCAATGGGTACATTGTCGGCCTTGAAGATAGTCTTTACCGATTCGGCGACCTCGGCACCAATACCGTCACCTTAGAGGATATCAGCAAAACTGGCGATCAAGCTGCAATGGGAATTGCGAGCGGGGTCTGTAGATACCGGGAATGAGAGTGACAGTGTATTTGCCGCCATACTTGGTGGGCTTGAAGATGTCGGACTGGACGCTGGCGAACGCTACTCATAGATTGCACATGTTAATTACAAAACTTCAATGCAACAAGAGGGTAGTAGGGAGGCGACGCACATCGCGCAGGGGCCGAAGGGCGAACGAAAGATGTCGACGCCGTAGCGCGACGGAAAAAAGACTGCCAAGACCAATGTTAGACAAAAGTGAAAATCACAAGTCAAGTATGAACGGTAATGCCGGAAAGGGTTTAGAAAAAAGGAAAAGGGGGGGATTGGGCAGCATAGAGAAGTGAAATAGGGGAGTGAGAAACGGGGGAAAGCACAGTGGACTAAGTCCAAATTGAGAGGGTTGGAGAGGGGGGTTAGAGGGGAAAAAAAATGACATACCTGCACGGGCTGCGCTGTCCGCAAAGAGAACATAATGACAAGACTATGAGAGAGGAGAGGAGGTGGTAGGAGGGAGCTAAACCGTAGGACCCGTTTGGGAAAAGGAATAAAGAAGGGAAAGAAGATAATTAGGAGGGAAAAAGAGGAGAGATAGACATAATGCCGCAAAGAGCGAAAGACGGAAAAAACGGGCGCGGCTCGTCTCGGCAGCCGGTCGCGAGTTGGGTTGTTAGTGCGGGCCCCGGACCGATCTTATCTGCAATCGCATCACTCTGACAGACCTTGCCTCGATTCGGATATCAATTGTCTCAATAAGTATGCTCACCTCAATAAGTCTATGTTGTTTGAAAATACATTATTGAATCAAACTACGACAAACGGCAGCCTTATTGATCCTCCTATTCAGACACCTTTCCGGCCACATGGCATTACCCTGTACCACCACCGAAAACAAAAAGAAGCAGCATCCATTCACTCAGCAAAAAAAGAAAAAAAAAACAAAGAAGATGCCTTGCAGGTCTTGTAGACACAGCCAATGGCACAATACATCCAATTCCTATCGATGATTGGCCCATGCATCTTTTCTCGAATATGCGGTTGCTTTTTGCCTGCATTAGGGCTAGTTAATGCTTTCTTGGGTCACTTTATTCAGAACCACCGCCTGAATAGTTACTGGTTCTCCCGTCAATTAAAGCCGTCCTCCCTCAATTTATATTGGTCGCTCTTTTTCTCTCTTTCCATTCTCTGGAACTATCATTTCGGCGTATGAATAAGAGATGTCTATTGAGAGCGTCAATGTGGGACTTCCATCTAGCAATTGCTCTACTTTTTATTGTAATATAAATGCCTATGGCTCCTACTTAGAGAAAATCAACAACGTCCAACTCGATTCCCAATCTTTATTAGAGCTCTGAAATCCACAAGCCCAATTCCCTCTTACTGTCATCATTCTTCTTGTTCTCGAACAAACCTGCAAAATGAGGTTCACCCTCACTGCTCTTGTTGCCATCATAGCCGCCACCGTTGTCTACGCTGCCGCTATCCCTGCCAATAACGGTAATGGGTGTGCGCTATCTGAACAACCTTGCGGTCAAATGAAGCGTGCTGTCTCTGACACCTCTGAGATCAAGCGTTCTGCCAATGCCCTTGCCGAGGCCATTGAGGATATGCCGAAACTTCACATTCCGAGCTGGTGTGCTCTTCCTGGCCAAATCTGCAGCAAGTTCAAGCGCGCTGCCGACGCCCTCACAAAGGCTGCGACCGCTGTCGAATCCCACTAGTATAAGTAAGTTGACTCTCCTTCCCTTTTTTTTTTTTTTTTTTGCTTCTTGCAATGCTAACCCAATCTTGTAGTCGCCTTGAATCTTGTACACAATTTGCATCATCGCTCGTCAACAAGTTGTACATGGCATACTGCCCTAATGCCAGGGGGGTATACCATGTAAGCAACCATGTTCCCATTGTGAACTTTTACTTGTTTCGGTTATCACATGTCTAGGAGGGGAAGAAAAAAGAGGAGAAAGGGAGATAACGTTGATATACATGTTGTTATTCCGTTGCAATTGGTTGATTTCCCGTTCATTTGGCTTTGTTTGGTTGTATCTAGAGTCATCTATTAACTGGAATCTCGGCTCCGGCTCCCAATTTTGTTGAGTAGCACAGTCAAATTATTACATTCATTATACCCGTGCATTCAAAAAGAAAAGTAAGGGAACACGAGGCGGTCGATCAAATTATGACAGGTTTTTCAACAACCCTAATTTTCTTTATTTCCAGTACTTCTTAAGCAGACGGTACAGCCAAATTTAGACCATGGAATACCGGAGCTGCTCGAATGCCCCGTACTGGTACTCTGTTGGCTGCGAGTCTGTATGTTCCCACCATCGCTTGCTTTGGTAGATTGGGTCACTCGCAAGTCTATAGGGAGCACCAGTCGTGGGCTCGCTTGGTGGAGATGTCTGGTGACCCTTTCGCCCAGAGATTTCGTAGTCACGCCGGGCTAGGGCTTCATAACCTGAAACCATATATGGCTCCGCATACTGCTGTCTGTCTTCGTCTTCATTCCCATCCTGTACCATGTCATCCATGTCATGATCCCCCACAAATGCATTGTCATGATATTGATATTGATCATCGAGAAAGCATGTCCCTGGTGCTGGGTCTCTATCTGCTGTCTCTGGGCAAATTTGCCACATTTGAACCAAGCGTGACTTCTGTTCAGGTATGGCGCCCTCAAACAATTCAACTTGCCTCGGGGACAGCGTGAATGGGTCAATATTATGACTTCTCAGGATATTACACGTATCAGATGCCATAGGGGCTGGATATGTATCAAAGGACTTTTGCTCTTCAGGCCTGATTTTCTGGGCCTGCCGCGTTACATGCGACGAATGATGGTAGTGTTGGCTGACACTGTATATAATGGGAGATGGCTGGGAAGAAGAGATAGGCGAAGCAGGCGAAGAAGGCTCTGGGGTATCAGGGATACCTACAGTTCCCATGCTCATTTGCCTGTCGAAGAGCGCTGCTAGATCGTCTTGCAGTTTCAGGCTACTTTCAGACGCCGATAGTCCACACTACAAGTGCATGAAGTCAGTATATCTGTTATTATTTTCGATATAGGTAGTGGAAGGATATTACCTGGCTACAGTGAGGATTTTCAATAAAAGCAGCAAGCGAAGTGGATATGTCAGTCATCTGTCCACAGAATGGGCATCGGTGCAAGATGGATGAGGACATGGCTCGGGGTGCGATTTGCCAATGAATCGATAATATCGTTGTATGAAGGATTTAGGGCAATTGATAGTTCTCGTTCTTCCAGCAGAGTTCTTAAAACACCCTTAGGTGTTCAAAGGATAATGGCAATTGTAGATTTTTTTTATAAAAAAAATAAAAAATAAAATAAGATAAAATAAATAACAGTACTCATCTTTTGGGGGGGGGGCATGTATTTATTTCGTGGATTATCCCATATGAAAGTCAAATGACCGATATCGATGCCCAAGGAGAGTGGATTGGGCACTTGGGTGTATGGCCAACATTTTTCAGGTCATGCAAGAGTCAGGAACGAATCGGATGGTATATATGGTGCACGTAGAAAGTACCCCGTAGTGAGTAGTGTTTTTGCTAGATTAGCCTACTGTTGAGGTCCTCGCTGTTGCTGCAGTGGTTAGCATTACTAGGTCGGATATACATATACATCGGTTGATGCCACATTTATGTACACTAGTACATATTTATGAGCATTTTATTTTTTTTAGCATGGTAGTGCGTTTAACAGCATGTATCAACAGTAGAATACACAATAAGAGTAGTACCAAGAGAGTAAAGTACGCCATAGTACGTTGGATTTGTACTCCACAACCCTGGTACCAATAGACACCTGAGGCATAAAATGGCGATAAGGCAGAAACCCCGTGACGCGACTGCAGCTCACCTCCAGCTACAGGTTGTATCTTATCTTCCGGAGCTCCAACTCATCAGTTAGTTAAACATACCGGATCTCGTCCATCACGCACATTCTAGAAGTGGTATTTGGTGCTTTTTCCTTTTTACTTCATCCTAGGATCAACAGCGAAGCAGTTTGCTGTATCTCATCATCTGACGTTCCTCGGCGGGACACCTTGACAAGCCATGGTCTGCCCCCCTGCTGCCTCACAGCGTAATAACTCCCTCTTGCTAACGATAACCTGGACCAGACATCCATTGGTACTGGTTACGATCTTTCCAACTCCGTCTTCTCGCCAGACGGTCGGAATTTCCAGGTACAATTCATGCCATGAAACAACCGCCCTGAGCTCGTTTCACTAAATATGTCTACAGGTGGAATATGCAGCCAAGGCAGTCGAGAATGGTGGAACAGCTATAGGTATCAGGTGTACAGATGGCGTCGTGTTGGCTGTCGAGAAGATAATTACGAGCAAGCTTCTGAAACCGGGTGCGAACAAGAAGATAGCAACAGTGGATCGCCATGTTGGCATTGTGAGTTCCCCTCATTATTCTATTGGGTGACGGCAAGTGCTCAGTACTGATGTATGTAATCCCTAAATTCCAGGTATCAGCCGGACTCAACCCCGACGGTCGTCATTTCGTTGCCCGAGCCAGGGACGAAGCCTCGTCTTGGAGAAGCGCATACAAGGCGCCCGTACCGACCTCGGCGCTTGCTAACCGCCTTGGAAGTTATGTTCAAGCCTTTACACTCTACTCTAGCGTGCGGCCATTCGGCGTGACATCTATCGTTGGAGGCTGGGACTCCGAGGGCGAGTTGGCAGTTGACGGCCAAGTCGGAACCGGACCAAAGTCGGGAGCTGGTGGAAAGGTTGAAGGCGCCAAGGCCGGTGGGCCTGGGCTATATATGATTGAACCTAGCGGCCTTTACTGGGTGTGTCTCTATTTATCCTATTTGCCTGTTATAACCAAATGTTAACCTCTTCCCAGGGTTACTATGGCGCCGCCACTGGAAAGGGAAGGCAAGCCGCGAAAGCCGAACTTGAGAAATTAGACTTGCTCTCTGGTAACTTGAGCCTGGTCGATGCTGTCAAAGAAGCAGCTCGAATCATTTATGTCGCCCACGAAGATAGTAAGGACAAGGATTTTGAGCTGGAGATGACCTGGATCAGTTCTCTGGATGGCCCTACCAAGGGAAGACACGAGGAAGTGCCGAAAGAGCTCTTCGAGGAAGCGGAGACTGCAGCAAAGAAAGCCTTGGAAGGAGAAGATGATGAAGAAGAGGAGGGTTCGAAAGGTGCCGCCAATGAAGGTGAACTGATGGAGGAATGATCACCATAGGCTTGGATTGAAATGATTTAAAGACGTCCAGTATGTATTCAAAATAGATATCAGATTGACAAGTCGGCGCCGCCATAATACTATTAGCAGCCAGTTTTGTGTCCATTTATACTATCCAGTATGATTCTCGGCCCACCTGGTTAGATTCTACCCTCAGCCCAGTTTGCTCTCTTCAAGCCAAGCTCCACGGCAGCATTTCCCCAGTCTTCTCCATGGTTGTGCATGCCATTCTTACCCAACCCAGCTCGGTCCAGGCCTTGTTCCTCGCTCAAGAGAGTGAGCACACCAAAGATGACCGGTACACCGGATTCAATTTGGATACGCATCAGCCCATGAGTCACAGCCTCACAAATGTACTCAAAGTGCATGGTTGATCCTTTGATCAAGACACCGATGGCGATAACAGCGTCAAATGGTCGAGACGTTGCAGATGATTGTGATGCTGCGGTAGAGGCCTTGCTGAGATCCGGAGTCGACGATGACAGCAGATCCGTAGCACTGACGCCTTCGGCGGACGGAGAGCCTTTAGCAGCTTGAATCTGCGAAGCCGCATACATCCTAAATGATGCATTGTTAGATATTTTCTGTTTTTCTTTCCAGGGCCCAAAAAGCGTTGGCTTACCGCTGAGCAGCAAATGGCAATTCATAACTGCCTGGGACGGTTTCCACAGTGATATTTTCCTCTCGAACACCGGCCGAAAACAACTGCCTTTTGGCACCCTCCAACAGAGGACCAATTATCGCCATGTTCCATCTCGCATGGACAATCGCGATCCGGAGCCCAGAACCTGTCAAGGAACCGATGAGCAATTGCCATCAACAGATAAAAAAAAAAAGCAATAGTCCTATCTCACCGTCATAGGTCGGAGCAACACCTGGACCTTTCAAAGATGCCATTTTTGCCTCTTTAATCCCTTAGGGAAAAATAAATAAATAATAATAATTCAAGATATAGCTTTCTCAGTTGTTCAATATAACAGACTCTGCGTACGACGTAGCATTAAATAATCCCGGTGCCGTTGTATGAGAGATATAGGTATCTGGAATATGGTGGGGGATCCGAGCTATGTACTCCTGTACCCAGTAAATTGCGTAGTGGGATTATACTGTTCATGTATTATTACGTACCCAAGTAGATGATCCCCCACTTCCGACTACTTCTGACCATCGCTACAGATAGATTGTTGTCACGATTGTTACAAAACTAAGATAAACAGGGGTGTCTACCTGCGCTAGTCCAGACAGAGTAGTCTTATTAGCTTGTATATCATGTCCATATAAAGCTAACTATGTATTGAATTCATGGAAAATCCCACTGCCACTGAAACTGCGAATCATACCCACTATTCTGTACTCCTTGAACCAATACTCCTATCTGAAACAATGGGAGACAAAGCGCCATGAGTATCGAGACTTTGAAGTAACATTAAGGATGCATAATGCGTGAGTGCAATATTCGCATTCTTTCTGTCATAATAGAGAACGAAGGCTATTAAAAAAAAAAAAAGTACGTAAAGGAGTTAAAAAAAAAACAAGTGATTGGGATATAATAAAAAAGAAAAGAGGGGGATGTGGTATTGACTCGTGTCCCACAATCTATCACCATATATTTGCGTTACCGGCCGGAGCAATCTTACTCCACGGTAACTGACTTGGCCAGATTGCGAGGGAAATCGACATTGAGACCCTCCCCGACGGCGAGCCAATAAGCAACGAGCTGCAGCGGGATAACATTGAGAAGACCCTGAAGACAATCGACAGTCTTTGGAACCTCGATCTTCTCTGTTTGGGCTGAAGAGAACTCGGGGTCATCGTGGTTGCAAATGACAATAGGACGACCACTGCGGGCAATGACTATTGATAGAAGCTCGTGTTAGAGATACTGTCTCATGTGAACCGTTGACATCGGTTGGCTGGTTTCACTCACCTTGTTGATACGCGTTCAGAGACTTCGAGAAAAGGTTGTCACGCGTGAGAATCATGATGATGGGTAGGTTCTCATCCACAAGGGCGAGAACACCATGCTTCAGCTCACCCGACATGACGGCCTCACAGTGGAGGTAAGAGATTTCCTTAATCTTAAGAGCTCCTGTGCGTAATTGTGAGATACCACTCCAAGTTGAATAGGCTGAAAGGGAGGGAATGGAATGGGTGCTTACCTTCGAGGGCTGTTGGGAACTGGCTGCCTCGTCCCAGCAAAAGCAAGCTCTTTTGGTGTTTGAAGAATTTGGCGCACATTTGCTTGATGGGTTCGTTGAGCTTCAAGATCTCCTTGAACTGCTCCGAAACCTTGGCGAGGCATTCAATAATCTCCTCTCGTCTCTTCTGTTTCGAGGCGCGATCCTCGCTGAGAGAAAGAGCAAACATGATCATGGCCACAAACTGCGATGTATACGCCTTTGTGGACGCCACACCGATCTCAGGACCAGCGTTGATGTGAACACCGCAGTGTGTCAGGAGGGAGATAGAAGATCCGACAACGTTGACAATTCCAACCGTCAAGGCGCCTCGTTCCAGACAGTAGCGAAGGGCCATGAGGGAGTCTGCGGTCTCTCCGGACTGGGAGACGAACACGCAGGTGTCATCACGGAAGACCGGTGCTTGTCTGTCCAAAAAGTCGGAAGCCAATTCTACGGAAATTGGAATCTCGGTGAGTTCTTCAAAAACACCACGCACGGCCATGCATGAATGGTAACTGGTTCCACAGGCAACAAAAATAATTCTCCGACAACGGCGGATAGTTGAAATGTACTGCCGGAGGCCACCAAGTGTCACCTGCTTGTTGGCAACATCCAAACGTCCTCTCATGGTGTTCACAATGGACTCGGGCTGTTCGAAAATTTCTTTTTGCATGAAATGGTCAAACGCGCCTTTCATAATTTCCTGCAGTTCGAGCTCAATGGTCTGGATGGCGCGAACATTGGAAGTGCCATCATCCTTGGTTAGACGATGAATGTTCAGCTGACCCTCGTGAACGTGGGCGATGTCATCGTCTTCGAGGTAAAGGACCTTCTTCGTGTGCTCGACGATCGCAGAAGGGTCAGAAGACAGGAAAAATTCTGCGGGCTGAGGAACACCATCATCGGAGAGGAAAGCACGAGACTGAGACCGGTGCAGCAGCGATTTGTCGGGAGGAGCAAGAAGACCCGTGGCAGAATTCTTGATGGCTACATTCTGCGATGCCTGTTCCGCAGGAAGGGGCTTATCTTCCGAGTACTCGACATCGACGAAGTCCACCTTCATCTTCTTCGAAGTTCGCACACCGATAACCAAAGGCGATCCCTTGCGAGCCGCAATGACTTCATGAGGGAAATGCACAGACTTGATAAGGAGACCAAAGGCACCTTCGAGTTCCTTCACGACGGCCTTTGCGAGGACGGTGAAGTCAATATCCGGCTGCTGGTCGAACAGATACTTGGTCAGCTTAGCAATGCACTCGGTATCAGTTTCTGTCTCGAAACGGAAGCCCTTGCTCTCCAGTAGAGCTCTGAGTTCTTTGTAGTTGGTGATGATTCCATTATGAACGATGGAGAATTCCCAATTCAGGTCAGACCTGTTTAAAAAAGATAACACGGTCATTTATTAGCCGTCTCGAACAGAAAAGGGAGGGAGTACCGAAGGCATATGCAATTAATTTACCTGTGAGGATGGCAATTCTGGCGGGAAGGGGTGCCGTGGGTAGCCCAGCGTGTGTGAGCAATACCAGCGTGTGACTCAAAAGTCTTGGTCAAGTCCGGCTTGCATTCATTGATAAGCTCCTTCAACTTTGCAACTTTTCCGACTTCTTTGTAGGCAGCCACTTCTTTCTTCTTGTTGCCGTCAATAGCAAGTCCGGCCGAGTCATAACCACGGTACTCGAGTCTTGAAAGTCCATTGAGCAAAGTATCCAGGATGAATTTACGGTCTCTCTCAACGAGATAATTGATGTAACCGAAGATACCACTGCATCCTGTTAATAAATCTCAAGAATGAGATGGCAACTATGTGATGTGTCCACATACCACATTGTGAATTATGAGTGAAAAGGCAATGAAAGAGGGAGAGGGATGTATGCGAATCACACAAAGTTCCTGGAAGACGGAGAAAACCAAGTTAGTAATAGTTGGATGAAGGGATAGCGGGATAAGTAGGACTAGTATGCCCTACAGGTCGAGATCGGTTTGGTGAATGGGAAACAAATGAACAGACTTACTTTTGTATGGAAAAGAGGAAGATGAGATGGGGATGATGAAGGGAAGAATTGGAAATATGAAGGGGAAGAGGAAGAGGGTGGAAAGAAGTACGAAGGGAAAGAAGGAAGGAAGGAGTAGAGAGGAAGAGAGAAGTTGTTGATCAAGATCGACGGACTTTATGAGGGAGGGGGAGGGGGAGCTGTCTATGTTTTATGTGGTCAGATCGACCCACCACCCAAACCAAGGGAAGCTGCTGCTGGAAATTTTTTTTTCTCTCTATGGACCGGGACCAGGGGCCAATGTTAGGTAAAACTGCGGAGACTCCCAATTACTAGTCCCATTACTACTAATAGTAATAATGGAGAAAGGAAGTGGCCAACGAGCGTCTGCGCCTCACACAAGTCGGTCGGTATGTCTCACTTGGCCGACAACCACCGTCCCATGGGAATACTAGTACGGAGTACGGAGTCCTCGGTACATATTCTGTATGCTGTATGAATGCCTTTTTACAGTTGGCTAGTCTCCACCTGCTGCCAACTTGCCACGAGAGGTCAAAAATCTAACACATCAGATTCAAAGAATGAAGGCATGCGGTCTGTAATGGATTCTCTGACCGACAAGGTGAGACTTGGCAACAGTCGCTAGTATGTACATGGTATATATCCAAGTGATGGGCAAAATTGCATGCAGCAAACTACTAGTGGTGTTCTGTACAGAGAGAAGGTATTGAAAGATTATTTGCCTGCTATTCGTAGCATGTATGTACTGTACTCTGTACAACAAGGATCATGAAGTATGTACATGCTCATTCGCACATTCTCAGAATGTACTCCAGCAAGGGCTGCTAGTATTGCTATGTACAGTACTCTGTACGGAGTAAGTACTCCGTAGTACAAGTATGCATATAGTACGGACATCGTATAATCTAGGATCATGACGTGAGAATTTTCTAGCCCTTCGTTTTCCACGCACAGCCTTTGGTGAATTTTATAAATAGTGTGGTTTTTGCTACTTCGGGGTATGTACGGAGTACCTTAATTATCTTCTCTCCCATGGAATGAGGTACCGAATCCATAAGAGAGTTGCTATTTTTGCATTACGGGGTCCTCGGCGCAGCACATATACTACTATTATTGGGTTGGTTCTCGGACTGCCCGCAAAAGAAGAATGGAAAACTGTTATATGGGAATTGGGAGACGTGCTTCGTTGTCAAAATTCCCGAGCGATATGCCACTACAGTACTAATATTTAAAAATAGAGCATTGATGTATGGAATAAAACTATTCTGTACAGAGTACGGAGTATACTCCGTATATATGTAGTATCACCGCATCTTTAACTCGCCGGTTACCGCAAAATGTATGCGGGTCTACTCCATACCATGCATAGTACGAACAAAAAAACTTCCAGCACCCATGATATGTGAGGTGGCCGAGAAGTTCGGATTGGCCATACTATATTCTTTTGAACCTCTCGAGTTTCAACAGGAAGCGGTTTCTTAAGATCGGTTGAAAGTGATGATTTCAGGTGATGAACACAGGGATTCTGGTGTAGTCAGTCATATCCTGCCGTCATGTTTCTGGAAAAGCCTTGTCTCTTTTCTTTTTTCTTTCTTTTGTTCTTCTGCCCGCGCGCCTATCCTCTGCCTCTATTCCGTACCCGAGGGCACATACAGAATTTTTTTTTTTCCACATTAGGCTCTCCAAGGAATCTGTCTCGATAAAATCATATGTAATAATTTCTTCTACCACTATTCATTGCTATTCTTTAGGGTGCATTTCCTCCATGTTCTTTCCCCCGCCACTTAAGCCATTGTCGCCGTGATTTCCTGTTTGCGCGCCTGGGTCGCGTTAATCGGGAAGTTCTCCAGAGTCCGAACACTTCCTGCGAAAGACACCAACACCCGCTCCTTGTATTATATACCATTTTACCTCAACTCTTTCTGCCCTTTTTTTTTCTTCTTCCCTCCTATTTCATTCTTAATATCGTCTTTCTCTGAGACTTCACACCTTGTCCAACTTCCAGCATTCCCTCCTTTCAATGCTCCATGCAATTCCAATGAAACCTTAAATCTGAAGTTTTCCATCTCGCCCGCGTCAGGAGAGCTTCCTGGATATATGTACTCATACTAGGCGATCCACGTTTCGTTAAGGATGCTGCCAAGTGATCGCGGCATCTCGTTATTTGGCGTGTAGCCATCTCCCATCATGTCGCGCTCCTCAGCCGGCTTCGCAGATTTCTTCCCCACTGCACCGTCAGTTCTCCAACAAAAGCGCTTCAGAGCCGCCCAGGAGTTGCCGCATCCGAAACTTCATAACGAGCACGAGAGCAATGAGGAACGCCCTGCATGCTTCGTGGAGCCCAACACCGTCAAGGATGTGATGCATGGTGGCACGTTTGCTCAGCCGGGATCGGAGTCGCATGATGAATCGGCCAAGGTATCGTTTGAGACCACAGGGATTGGATCTACGAGCTCTATGAGTACAGGACCTTCAGCATCTGGTTCTTCACTTTCCCAGATCGGTCCGTCGCATTTAAATGAAATGCATACAGACACCCTTACTCCGCTCACGAATGTCGAATCATCACCACCCTGTAAATCAAGTCCCCAACCGAGCAAAATCATGAATGGCGTTACCAATGCCAACCAGGTGAAATCTCGAGGCGAAGAGCAACGAGTCGCTATTACGCCTCTACACACCCCTCCTACCCCTCAACCGCAGGAACATACTATTGAAAATAGGGTCAGCGGTTATAAGTTGGTCTACGATCCCGACAGTGACCGGCGGCCATCGTCATCGTCAAAGGACAGACGGAGGAAACCGGAATACGTGGACATTGTTTTTAATGGGCAAAATGGATGCCCTCCGGATCCCCGTTTGGCCATCCCGAATTACACCCGGGGGGCCGGATGCAAACAGAAGCCAAAATATCGGCCGTCTCCTTATATGTTGAAATCGTGGCCTTATGACTCGGCAACTACGATAGGCCCTGGGCCTCCCACGCAGATAGCGGTCACAGGATTCGATCCCTTAACCCCAATCGCGCCAATAAGTGCGCTTTTCTCGAGTTTTGGAGAGATTACGGAAATCAACAATCGCACCGATCCTATTACTGGCAGATTTTTGGGGGTCTGCTCTATCAGATACAAAGATACCAGTTCGTTTCGAGGAGGAAGTCCAATACTTGCAGCCAGCGCGGCCAAACGAGCCTACCTCGAATGCAAAAAAGAGCAACGCATTGGAACTCGCAGAATAAGGGTGGAGTTGGATCGCGATGGCATCCTCGCTGAGAAGATTGTGTCCAAGGCTACTGATCCTCGGAGGTTGGGGCATAAGAAAGCCGAAGAAACAAAACCTGATCCCCAGTCCAAGAGGAATGAGCCACCTCCAACAGCGCCAAAAGGTCCTTCAGGGAGATCCTCAATGCGTCCAATGCCTGCCGTACCCGAAGGGCCGAGGGCAGTCTTTTCGAAGCCCGCCGTACCGTCTTTAGTCGAGGAAACACCAGTGCTGAATCAAATCAAGCGCGACCCGTATATCTTCGTTGCACATTGCTATGTGCCAGTTCTCAGTACGACTGTTCCGCACCTGAAAAAGAGACTCAAGCTGTTCAACTGGAAAGACATCCGTTGCGATAAAACCGGTTACTATATCATATTTGAAAATTCTCGGCGCGGGGAGGAGGAAACCGAACGCTGCTACAAGATATGCCACATGAAGCCGTTGTTTACCTATATCATGAACATGGAAAGTCAGCCATACGGTAATCCTAATTACGAACGGAGCCCAAGCCCCGAACGACTCGAAGCGGAGAAGAGAGAGAAAGCCGAAGCAGAAAGACTGGAAAAAGAGGCTAAAATTGATGTTGAGGAAGAGAAGAAACTCCGGGTGATTGATTTGGACCCTTGTAGGGAGGTTTTAACCATGATTATTCGCGATCTGAAAGACAAGCTTCTCGAAGATGTGAAGTCCCGTATCGCAGCCCCTGCATTATATGATTACCTTGATCCAGATCGCCATGCGGCCAAGAGAAAGGAATTAGGCATCTCTGATCCAGAGGGAACCAGACAGCCCACATTTCGCCTTGGTTTCGATGCATCCAGCGAGACACCGGATTCCCGCTCGGAGCTGTCCAATGTTCAACGGCCTTTCGGAACGTCCAATCTTAATGTCCTTGCCCTTCCGCGGATTCGAAAAGCGCATCGCTTGAACCGGGCGGATGCTTTCTTGGATGAAAGGCGCAAACAACCTGTGCGAAGGAGGGAAGTGCGGCCTCTTTACCACCGGCTACAACAGCTACATGATCATGATGATTCAGATGATGACCAAAGAACACCGTTCACCAGGGACACCGACGAACAGGAGAGCCGGCCTCTTAGTCGAATGAGCTCAATTGATTCGGGGTCTGATAATGATGAGCAGTCTATGCTTGGGACTTTACAAACATCGGTCACTGAACTCCCGGTACGCCAATATTATAATGAAACGGAGGGAGATGATATTGCCACAGAGAGCGCAGCCAACTCACAATCTAATGACGCTAGCGGCCTCTCTCCGATGTCTCGCAAGAGAAAGAGAATTAACGAAGACCATGAGGCGCGCAAGAGGCAAAGGGAAGACGAGGAACCGTTTGCTATTAACTCTGTTAACAAACCAGAAGATGAGCACACGAAATCGCCCGTCTCACTCGCGACAGGCGGTAATAGAACTGTTACAGATGGTCCCCCGGATATTGTACTGAGTTCTACGATACTGGAAGAGGATCAGAGTTCCAAAGATCCTTCAGAGAGATGCGGCCTAGAGGCTTCCATGTACGAGAAGGATCATGCTGAAAAAGTACATGTTTTTGGTGATGGTATCGATGAAGTGGACCAGCCAGAAGAATCAAAGATTGAAGTGGAATGGCGAGTGTCTAATGATGAACCCCGTCCTACAGTCCTGGATGACGAGGCGATTATCCTGGATCTCGACGGTTGGCAGAATCTGATAAAGGATGAAGAAGATCTACATTTCTTGCGAGATGTTCTAGCCAGCCAACCGAAGGCCAATCTTGGAAACTTAGCAGCATGGGCGTGGAGACAAAAGGAGATCAAAGCACTGAACCGTCCAGGAGACCTTGGCCCTGTGCATGAAGAGACGATCATTCATGGTTATTACGTCGTTAATGCAACAGGCGCTGCTCGAACGGAGGGAAGGAAGAGAATTTTGGAGTCAGAGAAATCAAAATACCTACCCCATCGGATTAAGGTCCAGAAGGCTCGGGAGGAAAGGGAGGCCAAAGCGAAAAGTGACCCTCAGGCGACTGCCGCTGAGGCTGCCAGAATCGCCGCTGCGAAAACGATTTCGAAGTCAACTTCAAGATCAACAAGAGTCAATAACCGCCGTCTAATTGCCGATATCAATGCGCAGAAACAAGCCCTTCCCATGCAAAGCGGAGACGGCGATGTTCTTCGCTTCAACCAGTTAAAAAAACGGAAAAAGCCTGTTCGCTTTGCTCGGTCTGCGATCCACAACTGGGGACTTTATGCCGAGGAAAACATATCAGCGAACGATATGATCATCGAATATGTGGGAGAGAAGGTACGACAACAGGTGGCAGATATGAGAGAGAGGCAATATTTGAAAAGTGGCATTGGTAGCAGCTATCTCTTTCGTATCGATGAAAACACCGTCATAGATGCTACGAAACGGGGCGGCATTGCCAGGTTCATTAACCACAGCTGCACGCCTAATTGCACTGCCAAGATCATCAAGGTCGATGGCAGTAAACGAATCGTTATATATGCGTTAAGGGACATTGAGCGAGGTAAGTGTCCAGTGGATACTAGATCCCGGAACATGGTAGAGTTGGTTTGATTAACGATGATCCAGATGAGGAATTGACTTATGACTACAAATTTGAAAGGGAATGGGACAGTGATGACAGGATCCCATGCCTCTGCGGCTCTACTGGTTGTAAAGGATTTCTTAATTAAAAACAGAAATCATCATGGAAGCTATTCATTTTCTTTTCCTACTCTTCGCTTTCTTTTTCTACACGGCGCTCTGATAAAGGGTCTTTATCACGGAATTGGTCTTGAGGCGTTTTGGTTGAAGCCTGGGAATAATTATGCAGGACTTTTTTTTTAAAAAAAAAATTCTGGCAATGCGTTTGTGTTTTAATATGCGAAATAGCTATGACAACCATGTACCATATATTATAGAATAAATATCACTATGTCAGGTGGACCATTCAACAGATACAAAAGCTCGGGCCATTATGGGATGATGAACTTTCACACGACTAACCCCTTGCTTAGGAAACTCTTCTGTACATTAACTATACCGAGAGGATTATTGTCAACCACTGTTGTTCGATGAGCATGCATTATATTTAATTTGATGCGTATATTTGTACTCTGTACTGTACAGAGTAGAGCGTCCATGAACCATCTATCCGAAGATTTTCAAACTGCAAAAGATCAGCAAGCGGTCAAAACATGTGCAATTCATCGAGGTCGAGGTTCACGGACCCAAATGACTGGGGAGAAGAAAATTCGCAATTCCTTCTTTGATCGTATACTCATGGCCACAGTTACCACATTTCAATTTCCCTTCCATGACCTGGGTCTCCAGAAGTAATCTGTGCAGGTCCCTCAGAATCTGCTCATCATTCAAGGTATCACCCTCTGGTTTTGTGTCTGGGATTCCGGGAAAGCCAAGCTATGAAACATCATCAGTGTAAAGTACAGCAATAATGATTAGACAGAACTTTGAAAGCTTACCTCATTGACAATCACCTGCAGTCCATCCCAATCAAGCCTGCGGATAATATTCTGTATGAATTCTGCCTGGAAATCTAGCTCCTGGAGTTCAAGCTCGGCATCATGAAAATGAAGTGGAAATGATGCTGGTGATGCTTTACAACCCTTCACAGCACAGGTCATGAAATTGGCAGTAACTACTTTCATTGTTCCAAGTGGTTGCTGAGGAAACAGACAGAGGAACGAATGACAAAATATAGAAAATATAGGTTGTGTTTAATGGTTATGCTTTGAAAAAAAAAAAATAAAAATAAAAATAAAAGAAAAAGAAAAAGAAGAAAAGAGTATTGAGAGGATTGTGTTTGTTTTGTGTTAAAGAACAATGTGGTTTTTTTCTTTTCTTTCTCATTTTTTTCCCTGGGCCCTGCGACTGCATCAAGTCTTTACTACCCAGGGCTAGCCCTGCTATGGAAGCTATTGGGACTTCTATATACTCCTGATTCACCAGATATACCACTAATATTTCGAATGATGACTAGGATACTATCTGATCAAGACATCCACCATGTCTTGATCAGCAATGTCACAATCTATGAGGCAAGCATTGGAATCCAGCAGGTCGCCATCAAATAAAAGATAAAGATTCTTTTCAGCGGGTATTTTTTGTGTGTCCTTAAAAGCAGAGATGATCTGGGATACTCGAGTCTTCTGGCTGACTTTCATTCCAAAGTCATCAAGTTCAGGACACCTTAAGATAATTTTCATTAGCACATCTCGCTCCTCGTTCCCAATATCGGGAGGATCTGGTCCAATTTGAGATTCCGCCGTGAATGATGTTCGCGGTTGTTGCTGTTTTTGTTTGAAAGCAAAGAAATCATGTGTAACTGCTTCAACATGGATGTGCTGCCCGTCGTTAACTGATGGGTAATGGATGTCCGAAAAGCCATCAGAACTGTTCACAACATTGACACCCAAGCTTTTACATGTCGTGACATCGAACAATCGCCGGCCCTCCCATGTCAGATATACAGACGATTGCAATTCTCCAGTAATACCTTGACGCTTGCACCATGCTAAGCGGGCCCCTTTCAATGACTGAGAAGCTTTTCGATGAATAATCAAAGGTTCCGTATTTTCAATTTCTGATGTTATCAGTATTTGGACGACCACATCATCTTGAAGGCTCTTGTCACGCCAGGTTGCCTTATATTCGCTTTTATTATTATCACGTAGAGTTTTTCCAAAGTCAGGCTCATCATCGGAAAAATCATTCGCCTCTTCGTGCATACACGGGGCAAATTCGGATGAATTATTGCAATGATCATTGACCTGGCTATTTGACTGAATGTCCGCTGCAGGTCCACAGTCTGATGCAGAGATATTATGGCCATGAACAGTGTCGCTTTCATGAATAGGTCTTATTCGCTGCACCTGATGCCAGCTAGCCTGTTTCTCCTTTTGTAATACACTGGGGGGGCAAGGTTCTGGCCTAATAGAAGAGTTCTGGTCGTTTATTACTCCGGAGACCTTGTCTAGTGGTGTATCCCCCCTTACACCGACTTGGTTTGAATTTTGACGGTCCTTAGATGTCTTGCCATCCGCTCTTTGATCATCACGGGCAGATTCAATTGCCGATCTTTCCCGTGCTTCTTTTGTCGCGGCGATGATATCGGCATAAGTGTGCTCCGAGCGTCGATAGAAATCAGGAACTGAATCCTCAATTCCCCTTTTTGCCCAGGACGGCCTCCTGAAATAAGATCGCATAGCGTGGTTGTGGTTCTTCCAGGCACCAAAAAGAGGATATCACAACTTATGTGCGAATTGAAGGCCTCTATATTGGTGTGGTGTGCGGAGTAAAATAAATAAGTGAGGAAATTCAATAATAATGTGGTGGACAAATCTTGGCGCGTCCTGGATTTATCTAATCATCTGCATATCTCCACCACAATACGGAGTACATAGCATGGAGTAGTACACTGTGCTCTGGTCCTGCTTAGCAACCATATCGACTTTTTTCTTTCTTTTTTCTTTTTTTTTCTCTAATCAGCGCTTGACATTATCCTGTAAAGTCGACTGAAAATGGAGAACGGTGCGCCGCCTGATGGCAAAGACCCATCAGCATTCCTCAGTGAAATTATTGGAGCTCCAGTAACTGTGAAACTGAATTCTGGAGTTGTATACAAAGGTTATTTCCCATTGTGTTGATCTGGTTTTAGATCTGGATTCTGATATCATTTCTTCAGGCGAACTTCAATCAGTGGATGGTTACATGAATATTGCTTTGGAAAAGACTGAAGAATATGTGAATGGAGTTTTGAGGAAGAACTTTGGAGATGCTTTTGTCCGCGGAAACAATGGTTTGTTTTTACTATCCTCATTGGGATTTACAAAACTAATATATGTATATCTGGTGAACTGCAGTTCTCTACATCTCTGCACAATGATTACCTCATGCCTATATAGAATATGATGCCACGGGCTCCTAGAGCGACAGCCATAATGGGAAAGGGAAAAGTCTAACGCCAAAAAGACGGAGGCCGGGATGGGAAAGGAGAAATGGGAGGAAGTCAATTATAAACCCCGAGAACCACAGGCTCTTTATTGCAAATAGCAATCTCTTCTAGGCAATTTCAATCCCGTGGATATGTATCTCAGGGGCAAGTGTATATCCAACTGGACTTGGTGAGAGCGTATCCTCAATATACCGAATCATAATAGGTGTGGCTCTGTCTTCCGATTCCTGTGAAATATTATGGCTAAGTCGATTTTTTCCCTTCCTTTTTGGGGGCTTATTTATTGTCCAGTTGCTCGTTAATACCTCAAATCTAACAATGCAATCATTGCAATGACGGGGCATAAAATATCGGGTACCATTCGCATGTACAGTAACTACTCAGACGGAGCACTAAGCCCCACGTGTAATGCTCCGTACTCCGCAGAGTTTTTATCTTAAAATAAGCGCAGATCACTCCACCTCAAAGAGCACATTCCAGAGTCGATTTCGCACTGCGGTAACAGCCCTGCATCTTCACGAAGCATGTTGAATCGCTGACAGTTGTTTTAGAATTACAGCCAGGATGACGCTGCAGGCTATTCGATACACTAATGGTGATCTCACCATAATTGATCAACTAAAACTTCCGTTTGTCGAAGAATATATACCCATACGAACAGCTGAGGAAGGCTGGCATGCAATAAAAGAAATGCGAGTGAGGGGCGCACCTGCCATCGCCATTGTGGCTGCACTTGCACTTGCATCTGAAGTTCACCAGCTTGTCAACAACAAGAAGCTGTCGGCTGCTGCGGAAGAGGTTCGAATCTTCATTGTGGAGAAATTACATTATCTCGTCACTAGCAGGCCAACTGCTGTCAATCTAAGCGATGCCGCCCACAAGCTCGAGGTATTGGTAACTGAACGTGCGAGTACAGCAGGATCAGCAGGCCATGATGTCGCCACTGCTTTTATCCGCGCAGCTGAACATATGATGGTAAAAGATGTGGAAGACAACAAAAAGATTGGGCAAAACGGGGCTCAGTGGATTCTTGCAAATGCTCTCAAGTCGGGCCTGTCTAAAGCTTCTATTCTCACACATTGCAATACAGGGTACGTTATACATTCCATTGATATTGCAATTTATCTAACCATTCTTCTTTGAGTAGTTCCCTTGCGACTTCTGGCTATGGAACAGCACTAGGTGTTATTCGCTCTCTTGCCTCAAACAATGGGCTGCGCCATGCATATTGTACAGAGACTCGACCATATAATCAGGGTTCCCGTTTAACAGCTTTTGAATTGGTTCATGATGGTCTCCCCGCTACGTTGATTACCGATTCGATGGCAGCTGCTCTACTCGCGCGAACAGATGCCGACATGAATGCGATTGTAGTGGGAGCAGATAGGGTGGCAGCCAACGGGGACACTGCAAATAAGATAGGAACATATGGCCTAGCAGTCCTGGCAAGATATCACGGTGTCAAATTCCTTGTCGCTGCACCGCTCACTACAATTGACCTGGCTACTAAATCAGGCAATGAAATCACCATTGAAGAGCGTCCGGCTTCTGAGGTAACAAGGATAAAAGGACCCAGCCAGAAAGATGATACTGCTGGAGTCCTGTCTTTGGAAACCATAAACATCGCAGCAAAAGGGATCAACGTTTGGAACCCAGCATTCGACATCGCGCCTGCAACACTCATTGATGGTATAATCACAGAGGTCGGTGTTGCAGAAAAGGATTCTAAAGGACATTTTCACTTGGACCGTTTATTCTCCTAATGCTTCGGGTATTCGTCTTGGCTATCACCGACCTCATTCTCTCCTGGTTTTCGAATTCTGCGAGAAGATTATCGATTCTGTGGTCCAGGCTGCACAGCTGAGTTTCTAGCGCAATATAGCTGTTCGTTCACTTCATATTGATATTTATTTGGGTTCACATGGATAGGACACTCAACAATGCTTTTGGATGTCTGTTATTTTGGGTTTTAAATAGATTCCATCCTTTTTCGAGAGAAAGTCGGGGCGGGAATCACTCGTGCAAATTCAGCGAGGCTGTATTTCTTTTATGATCGCTATCATCCTGTGGCATGTTTAATGGGTACTGATATCTCTGAACCAGTTGACGTAGTTGTTGTTGTAGTAGTAGTAGTAGTAGTAGTAGTAGTAGTAGTAGTAGTAGTAGTCCACTGCTTTTGCCATGGGTGCACCATAGTGATAGAATAATGTCAGCTACCAATAGCAAGTATATGATTAAAGGTATCTATTAATAAAGGGGGGTAAAGGTGTTTGCACCCGGCTTGCCCCCTTTACTGCCTATCTTAATACGATATCAACATAGTATCTCAGGTATAAGCGCACGCGCGTTATCCATGCATGCCATGTCTTATACAAGAAAGATGTTGCATGAATACTAATAATGTGAATAGATTGGGGAACAGTAATAAGATACCATGTAAGCTATTGCATGGTCATGAACTGGACTTAACTTTCTAACTTTTTAGCTTATAACAAAAAAGCATTTAGCAATCTTAAAAAGGTGATTTATCTCTCTTTTATATAAATAAGAATGACAAACAGTATAGTGGTATAAGCTAAACATCAATCTAGTGATTTCTAATGAATAATTAATAGTTTGAGAATCTACACAGATATTATATAAATACACATTTTAGTTTAGGCCAGTTTTTCATAATTTCTATATTTAGACTGTTTATATGGACCACTTCAAGGCTTTATAGAAGTAGTAGATTCATTAGTGATTGTTAAATTCATGTAGCAATAGCAGAGTGTTTTATAGTATACCTTGGGTTTATGAATTCATGGCAATCCAACATATGCCAGAGCTCTATAATATTTGATTAGATTTTTTATCTGACTCTTTATCTGACTCTCCCTCATGGTAGATATTGCACCACCATACCATTATTAATTAATCCAATTCGTGATCTGAAACCTGATTCTAAACTGGTATGAACAAATTAGCCTCAAGAGGTAAAGAAAGAGGCTTCTTAGCATGCTCCTCCATGATTTAATGTCATAAAATTCTGAAAACATTATCTATAGGTTTACTATTAATGCTGAATAACTGCGCCCGATTATTACACCTAATGATTGTTCCTCATCTAAATGGTATAGCAAGTCAGCGTTAACTTTATATAGTGGATAGTAGTTATGTGAATCGTGGTGAGGTCTCCACTTATATTGTAGCACCCTGTGAGCATTCGCACCATTAGATGGGAGCTCTTTCCTCTTGTCTTCTTCCTCTTTCTTTCATGCTTGATTTATAAGATTAGAAATTGTCAAAGATGACAAGTTTAACTTAAAATTATAATCTCTATAAAACTTAAGATTTTCTAATATTATCAACTAGCTTTACTCATTAATTGACCGTACCTATAGAAAATAAAAAGAATCTATAATCACTAAATACAAACTTAGTTATAGTTACTTTGTATATTAGTGTGCGGAGATAATTTTATTGACTCTAGACATCATTCATAAAGCAAGCTAATGTATTTTCAGGTAGATAAAAGGGTATGATATAATTTCTCTGTAGAATAAATAGTATACTGAACTAGCTGAAATCGATCTTTTATTGTCTCTGGTCTTCACAGAAAACACGATGATAATCATATCTGCGGCTTGATTTAGACTCAATTAATCTCATGATGGTCAATGAATCACCGCACCCATTTCTCACAAATTGGTGGGGCTGACTTGAGGTGGCTTGATAGTAGCAGTGCAACCATATCATGTATAATATGAAATCCTTGGTATGTCACGACTATCTTCAGCTAATATCAATTCAAGAAGTGTAGCTTCTTCAGTATTGGTGAGTTTTCGGCCATTTGGAGCTGAATCAACACGGACGGCGCGACCATTTAAAGAGATAATGTCGCTAAAGGCACATTATATGCTGCTGCTGCACCTTGTATGCTTTTAATACGGCCTAGTTCAAAAGCCTTCATTGCAAGCAGTATTCTGCCTCGTCGAACAAATGAATTTGCCATTACATGTGGCTATTTGATGGTTCAATTAATGGGACGTGTAGGAGAGACGAATTCGTGTTCCGCTCGGTGTCCAATTACGTTAAGTAGGCATCTATCAAGATATTAATTTACTCTAGTATTGGCCAATATCGTCGAGGGATACTTAATTCTATCATAATTTGTCTAACCACTCATATTGAATTCTTACGTTAATTACTTAAGTCTAATTTATAAGTTTGATTGATACTTTCCGAACTTAGATCAGAAACTCTTCTAGATTTAGATCTTTTCTGTTCTATTAGCCTCATTATTACTTAATCTATTTGAGTTCCTTTGTGACTAAATTTTTAGTAGTTGGAAGAAACCTAATTTACTATAGCCAGTAATATGAGTACACAGAATGAGTGATAAAGACGCATACTTTAAGATAAAGCTAATAGAAAGATAATCCAAGTAGTGAAGGCATCATGTCCTGATTAACCTTATTGACCTGTCTACGTTTCTCATCTCTTATCATAGGAGGATAGTGCACTATTACTAATTTATTATATAGTTATTTCTTTACCCATATTATACTACAGTAGTATAAGCTTTTTTTATTTAATTTGATTTCACAATTTCTCTCCAATACAAAAAACCTTGATTTATATTTGTCAGATCAAATTATGACGTGAAAGAAATGAGATTTGAATTATAATGTGGGCTTGGAATACTATAGTATTGACGGAATGGTGGTTTATCTAAGTTATTACAGTCATCGAGAAGAATATAAAAAAAACCTCAATTAACTGAGGAAACAGCTAAAACTACGCTATGAATAGGCATACGTGCGCAAGGATTGGACATGAACAATGGAAAAAATTATATATAATCCCATACATTAAAGGCAATGGAATATCTATCATGATTTGGGCAGAAATATGGGGTAATGGCTACACTGAAATCTATCGAATGAGTCAGGATGAGGAATCTGCTCGAAAAGGGTGTTCTTCAGTCTTGAAAATTATTGAAGAGAATCTACCTGTTATATGAGTATCTTGTATGGAATTCATTCAACATAATGCTCCCATATATACAGTCAATATCATTAAGAATTGGTTTAATGAGCATGGTATTCCTCTTGTTGACTGGCGACCCTACCCACCTGATTTGAACCCTATTCAACATGCCCGAATCAAGTTGAAAGAGCGTATACGTGCTCTATCCAGACCTTGAATTATTCAATGGGACCAAAGAGCAATTTTGTAAGGGCCATTGGGGGGCGTCAATGCAATTTTGAAGGCAAAGGGATTGGGTATACACATTAATAATAATATTTTATTTTATTATTCAATAGGTTAGCTACACATAAAAGTTTTAATTATTTAGAAAGAATATTGATATTTGGTTGTTTTATTGGAAGAGAAATGTTTTGGTGATTATATTTTCGTGATTGCGGGAAATTACATAAACCTTTGTCCCCTGGGTTCCCTCTACATGTTTAATCTATAAGGGACTATGTGCCTAAGCCTGGGAATAGGTTCCCGTAGCATCAAGGTAGAAACTATATGGCTATAACTATAAAGATAGGCCAATTTATGAGCCTCCATTAGGAGTGTCAGTTTTATATTATCTTCATGGACAACACAACGCAAGTGCATTTTTTTTAAAAAAATTAAATTAATGAACTGTGGTCTATCATTACAAACGAGATACTCTCGTAAGGTTCTTTATAGATAACTATAGCTGAACATCTAAATGTATAACGTATTCCAAAGGTGAGCGGCGCGTTTTCCGCAACCACCAAATATTGAATTACCTACCAACACATTATATCTTTACCATTTCAATCCATAATGTCTAAGTCTTAAGAATCTAGCATTCAAATGGCTATATCTGCCTATAATTCAAAGAATTAAGTCCAAAAAGGAGGCTGCCAAGGTGCTTGGGGTATCTAAAACTACTCTTCACGAGCGCCTCAAGGGATGAAAACCACGCTCAGAAACACGCGCAAATAATCCCATATTATCATCTATTCAAGAAGTTCTTATACAATTATCAAAACTAATCTCATCTACCCAGCATGAATCTTATCCCCAACATCTTTGGAATTTAGATCATGTAATCCTCAGCCCCGGATTAACATATGGGTACTTGGATCATTGCAAAAGACTCCATCATTGTTGAGTTATCCCCGGTTAAAGAAGTAGGTGTTGCCCAATGTGTCCCAACCACATAAATGTTTATAAATGCTTATATAAATGATTTATGGTTTTATACACTACGGCATGCATGTATAAAAAGCACAGTAATGGCTAAAAGTAGTATAAAGTAGTTAGGGAATTGCGTTGATGATTAAGTGGATACCTAATAGATGATGTAACTGGTAAGCAAGTCTCCACCTTTAGAGGGTATTATTTATAATCAAATAAAACATCAAATCTAAATAAATATTAAATATTGAATATTGTATTTTTTTTATGGTTGCTTAGCTCCTTGCTATGAAATCCGAGTAGTGTATCGCTAGGGCATACTGACCAATTAAATAATTAAATCAAAATAAAACCAGAAATTTTAACTACTATAGCTTGACCGAACAATACAATTTACCCATAGGGTCAAACTTAGATGAATTAAATGCTAATGTTGACTAAGAATATCAATTATTCTTCATCTTCATTAATGGAGAAGAGAGCAGAAATTGACATATAAAGCTTGATGAATTCTTGTAGAAACCTGAGTAGCTGTTTAAAAAAAACTAGTCCATCAATAACATAATATTTACCTTGATGTTATTAGAAGATCTGTTTC